ATTGTCCATCATAAAAGGATTTCCTGGACATTTCTTGTAAAATTAAGAGCTTGATAAGTCCTGCATTCATAATAAATCCACTTAGTAGATAAAACTCCCCTTCAATGTTGTTATAATGGTACCAATTTTTGAAAACACAAAAGTTCTGCGGTCCATTGTCCTGCGCACAAGGCTTACTAATAACCAACCAAATCTGTAGTAAAGTAGAGGTTGAAAATGTCAATTTGCTTTTAAAATCTCCTTATATCCTCTCTTGTTATAACATCAGGAAGCAATAGTGCTTTTCACCTCTGGTCTAAATGCAGCAAAGAGTCCCACAGTCTTTTGTCATCATAACCCATTGTATTGACTATGTTTGACATCTGCCCTTCATAGATGCTGTCAAAATATTTTTAAAAAAATTAGTTTAGCTAAAATAAAAAAATTAAAATATAAATAAAAAGAATTCAAAATAATAAACAATCTGCCTAAATTACTTTTACTTCAAGTTTTCATTGAAAAGGGAACACAGCTGATTGTTACAGTGTAATAATAGTAATAGCCTTGGCCTTGAGAACCATTGTTTACATTTTGCTAACTGAAACGTAATAATATTAAAATAATTGTATAACTACAAATTAGTTTCAAACAAATAAATAATTTAATCTATTGAAGAATTTTATACTACTGGAACTTGAATAAAACTAATGTTAGGGCTAATAATAGTGCTAAGAAGTATCACAGTATGCGTGAGTTGAGTATGAATGAAAAAAGTAAACAAACCTTGGATGGTATTATTATGATGATAATTTACACAATTATCGGTATCAGACACATCTGAAGTGCTATCTTCATCAAAAATATTCCTCTAAGTAAGAATAGTTGTCCATTTCAAGCTTATAACAGAATCAGATTCCATAGCAATGTTTTAGAGTGTAGTAACAGTGAACCGGAATTGTGGCGAAATATGAGTAAATGGCGAAAAGTAAAATTTATGAATGGACAAGTTGCTACCAGATTTCTTCAAGAACTAGTAAAATAAACGATTTTTCTTTCTTGCCAAATAGAAATTTAACATTCCAAAATAGTAAATCTTTATTTTCGCCTTTTAATATTATTTTTATATATATATTAGGGGTCCTTTTTTTCACCCGCCATATATGACCGATTTTTCAATCTCCCGTCTTTTGAGAGTTAAGCTGCCGATCCGTCCGAGACTAAATGTGAACCTGGAAGGACCTTACTATGCCATGCCCTTCTCAGCCTACTGTAAGTAAAATGATCTCACATCAGTCTGGCGCTTCAACAAGAAAACAGCACAGACCCTCTCTTCCTGTGCCACCAAAAACCCAGTATTCTCAGTACAATAGCACCTGCCTTAGATAAAAAAAAATTGATTTTTGAATATCCGAAACTTAAACTATATTACTTACTGACGTACGTATGGGTTTTATCCCATCAATTTTGGCTCCATACATAGACTATAGTCTATAGGATAGACAATAGATTAGGACAGCAATTGTTTTGACATAATTTGAAAATGAATTTGTGTTGAAAATCTGACTTTTAATCAAGCATTTAAGTCATTGGTGAAATATGTGAAGGGCTCCACTTCTTCCATTGCATTTCCTGCCAAGGCCAAAGAGATGTACTTTATCTGTTTTGATAAAAAAAAGTGTCAGAATATCGATAAAATACCGCTTTAGTCAATTAATTGTTGTGTTAGTACGGATGATAAAAGTAAACAAATTCTACACCATGAGAAGTTGTTTTTTAACATTTAGTACAAAAGATTTCTAAAGTTTAAAGAGAGGCTTCTCTATAATTCTATATAGCAAAACGAGGTATATTGAAGCTTGAAGTAAAGGACGGACAGGACATTAAGATTTGAACGTTTGGGCATAGAGCCTTCTTCAGCGCACAGGACAAATGAAAATATCAAAAAGAACAAACCACAGTAAACAACTCACGAAATATCCATTTTTGTTGCCGGAAGTCGGATTACAGGAAGTGAGATAATAGAAATATTGACACTGTGAAAAATAAGGTCCACAAAAATAATAGACCAAAATATCAAAGGATACATTATCGCACAGCAATAAGCAGATAGTAGAACAGAGAAACATTAGTAGGAATAACTTGATTAATACCATATGGAGATATGGTGCCAAACAGCTGAATAAATCTATTTTCCATTTTAACCCTGTCTGGTGTGTTAGAGCAGGAAATCAGTGCCCTAATGGTTACATCTAATGTACCTTTATGGCCATCTCTGTTGAAATGTGAAGAGACTGGAGAAAACTTGCCTTGTTCAATATCCCGGAAATGTTCAGTGAATCTATCAGCCAATCTTCTCCCAGCTTCACCTATGTAACTAGATTGGCATCTACGGCACACAATCGCATATACCACATTGCGGTTAATGCAAGTGAAACCCTCTTTAATGGTAAAGATACCTTTAGTTTGGAGTGTGAAGGGACAAGTCCTACAGCGGGTTCTTAAGCATGGCTTAGTATCAAAGTAGGATGGGTCAGATCGGGGGCGACTATGAACCAGAAGGTCACCTAGAGTTTTGTCCCGCCTAAAGACAATCAGTGGAGGGGATGATCATACCTTGTTAGTATCAGGGTCAGCAAGAAGTATGCTGCGATTTTGTAGGAATATTTTTTTTTTGGCAGTTAAATTGTGAGGGTGGTAGGTTAGTATAAGTTTGGTACGATCTTCATTGTTGTTTTGACGAGGCTTGAAAGCATCTTTCCGTGTGATAGTGTCGATGCGACCTAATAATAATAATAATAATAAAGCTTATTTCAAAACCACGCTTCATCCCCAAAGGCTCAAAGCGTGGTACAAAATCATCCATATTAAAAAAAAGAAATGAAAAAATCTATAGTTCACCACATTGAAATACAAAACGCAACATTACAAAAAGTACATACGAGAATACCCATTCTAAGCCTTTCATCCCTTGCAACCATAAACAACACAGGCCACTTTACATCTAGGAGATAATAGTTAGCTGGAAAAGATGGTAGACAAATTCACCCCAACAGGTGTTTGTGAAATAGATGTTATGTTTTCAATTCAGTTTTGAAAGACTCCAGTGTCTGGGTGTTTCTGAGAGCGACAGGAAGTGTGTTCCAAATTGTTGGGCCAGCAAATGCGCCTAGTGCTGAGACAAGAGTAGTTTCAGGATAGGATCTGGAGCGGAGGAAATCCATAATTTCATCAGCTCTTTCCAAAAATTCCTCATCAAGTTGGCAGAGACGCAGTAGTCTTAGAAGTTGTGCGCAGGGTATAGAGCCTTTGCATGATTTGGGGTGGGAAGATGGGTATAAAAGGTAACTATGGCTGTCAGGTAGGTTCAAATATTTATAGTCATTTTTGACGCATTTCTAATGAATATAAATTTTAGCATTTATAGTTGGGGTAGATTATAGTGGGGTTGCTACAGAATATATATATATATATATATATATATATATATCAGCCTTTGTTTTAGGCTCCACTCCCCCACACTTGCCCAACGCTTGTGGATATAGGCACACAACACAAACATGTTTGTGCATCCATCCGTATGTGTGTAGGGCCTATGTGTGTGTGTGAATAATTTAACAATTTTCCGTCCCTTCATGGTTGTGCTTGGGTAGCCCCCCCCCCTCACCTTTTCACCCTGACTATAGAGTTATAGAGTTTTGACGTTATCGATATCATTTATGTAAACAACAATAAATACTATGATAAAGCAACTTGGCTGAACATTGATTACCTCAAGTCTTAAATTATTTGTCGTAGTTACCGTAGCCCTAATGTTAACGTTATTTTGAATAAAGTTATTAAAAAAAATGCTATTTACTTCATTTAATTATTGACATTGAAATTCTAATGTTCAAAATAAATTGAAAACAAGTGTTTTTATTGATTGAGGTCTACAGTTATTGATATAATGACCCTTGCGTTTAGTTCATTATACAATATTATAATGTGCCAGTGTATCCGTTGCCAACTTGGTAACACACTGTGAATAGATCAAGAGTGCAAAGAGACGAGTGGAAACTATTACTTTCAACCTAGTGAATAACAGAACATAACACCGCTTTCATATGCAAATGAGCAAACCTAGTGGTAATGGTATCGTAGAAACCTGTAAACATTCCAAGATGGCCGTCAGCTGAGCGCAAACTGTAAAGAGTGTTAGCTCTATCGACAGAAGTTCCACAAAAGATAAGATATTAGCTCTCCATTTTATCCTTATGTATGAAAAATAATATTTTGTGCTGGGCAATTTTGGAGAAAAATTAAAATGTCGACAGAGCTTCAAGGAAGTGGAAAAGATCGACAGAAAAGTGCGGATAAGAATAAATCTCGCCTTGCAGCTTTGGCACCTGGAGAAAATATTAAGGAAAAGCAGGTATAGTCATGTTCTGTAAAAAAATTTAGATCTGATATAGATTTTTATCATTTTTGTGTAAGCAGTTATAATGAAATATTTGATCAATTTTAGAATTTATGGTTAAAAACAAAGGCCTAACTAATGATAAAGGTGGCATCTGATTGTATTGGCGGCATTGGTGATGATTGATTGCGATGGACAGTACAATGGACACTGGTACAGCAGGAAGGTATAAATAAAAGAAGAAAAGATTAAATCGAAAGTAAAATCAAAGTTATTAAACTATATAATTTTAAAAAAAAATAGTTTAGGCCTTTATATTTTAGAAAATTTAGGCAATAAAACCTAAAAAAAATTTCAAGCTTAATAATAATATAGTATAGGCATAGGCTGGCATAGGCTTTGAGTTAGGCCTATAAATTATACAATATCCTAAATTTAATTAGTAAACTTTAAACGGTGACTGAGTGAGTCTAAAAAGTTTTTCTTTAAAAGTCAAATAATTCTATAAGTTATAAGGCTTTCAAGGCAAATTAATTAATACTCTAACTCTAAAAAATGCTCTGTTTATCACCACAATAAACATTTTCTTTTTGTTTGTTTTGACCCATCAATATCAATTGAAATTTCTGAAATGAAATGACATTTTAAGAAATTTAAGACTTATTTTTTACCGTTTGATCAAAGATATGATGAAAAATAGATATAATCACTTCCAACACTTTAATTTTGAGACTGAAGATCTTTCAAAAAAAAAAAAAAAAAAAAAAAAAAAAAAAAAATTTTAAGAAATTTAAGAATTATTTTTTACCGTTTGATCAAAGATATGATGAAAAATAGATATAATCACTTCCAACACTTTAATTTTGAGACTGAAAATCTTTCAAAAAAAAAAAAAAAAAAAAGAATTGGCACACATCCTAAATATGTCCCTCTGCCTCTGTGTAGAAACAAAATAGGATACGCCTACATGTTATTCTAATAATTGTTAAAAAAATAAGCCATTATAAATTATTTAAAAAAAGAAGACTAAATATAAAATAAAATAAAAACCTTTGAAAACAAAACATTAAATTTATCTCCATTTCCTTCAATCAAATTTGTTTGGACAATAATATTATTGATTTAATATAAACCAAATGGATTAACTATAACTTAAAAAAAACACTCTACAAATAAATAATTAACTTAACAGAGAACAGTTTCAGTTTTGTTTACTTTTGAATTTTGTGATGTCAGTATTAAAATTAATTATAGTTTATTAGTTAAAATGAGATTACAAAAACTAAGGAAAAATGCCCTTTTAGATAATGTTTAACCAAGCTGTTTGGCCAACTTACATAAATAATAGATTTATAAGACCATGGTAAATATTAAAAAACATATATTACAATACATTTATTACTTTTTTCAGAAATATATTGATGACTAAAACTATAATATTTCTTATAAGATTGAATTAATATAGACTAAAACAGCACCACAGTTTTTAATTGATCAAATATGTCTGAATTAAAAAAAAAAAAAAATTAATATAACAATTCTTTTGGGAGTTTAAAAAAATCAATTAATTCGTAATGTTCACAAAAGGTAAATGAACTGCTAGAATCTTAGGTAAATATTTCATCTATTTGCTCATTTTTGTTTTTCTGGGTAACCAATAGTTTGACTTTATCTGGCCACCCTGGAGCAGTGCCAAGATCTTAAGTTCAATGTTTATTCTTGTAATCTCTAGCTACATTGAGTTTTAGCATGCCTGTAATATTGATTTAATTTTATTATCTTGAACTAGTTGAACTAGCATTGGGTAGAAAAGTTGTCATTTTTTTGTTGATTGGAGTTTTATTTATTTTTTTTTTTTTTTTGTGTTTTTTTTTTTTCTCCCCCCCCCCCCCCCCCCCTTTTTTTTTATCACTATATGATATAGGCAGTGGCATAGCTCGTTATTGTGCAGAAAAATTTCTCATAGATTAAAATGCAATTCTTACACAAATAATGATATCTTATATTTGTAGGCTACTTAACTGATATATAATTGCTACCAGGTATAGGAAACTGTCTGATCTTATCCAGATAAAGAACTAAAATCGAAGCTGCTTTCTTGAGTGTTGCTTATTTCATCAAGCTTAATAAGTTTGCACTGATGCTTTTAATTTATCACTATTACATTTAAATGTCTATCATTGTAGCTAAAGCTGAAAGAGGAGAGAGAAGCCAAGAGGGCCCAGTTAGATGAAAGACATTACTATGTCCTCCAGACAGTGGCTGATAGCTTGGGAATGGACAGATCAGAGGTGGAAGATGCCATCTTAGAGGGAAATCAGGTAAGAAAATGGTTGTGTTCCCTTGTGAAGTTTGATCATAGTTTCAGTAATTCACTAAATATTTGATACATTCTTACAAATGGACATATTAAAATATAAAGTAAAAATTACGTACATTAGATAATTAGATGCTAACTTTTTTTTAATTTTAGAAAAAAATGATGTTTGGTTTGAATTGTGAAGGGATTTTTATAAATTTGGAGAATATTCAAAGGCAATGTAGATTAAAATTTTGTAAATAGATTTTCTCGGATTTAATAAATGGCTTGTTTATTTACCTAGATTGAAACAATGGAGAAGTTTCTTGGGGTAAATGGATGCAACCGCCTTCTATTTTACTACCAGGAACCAGAAACAGACAAAGAACCAGGTAATTTTTATTTTACTTGAAGCTCAGTAATTTTGCCCCATAACTTTATTCATGCATTTTGATAATCCCCCAACACCCACCAACCAACCCCCCAATAATAATTGTCACATTCTATTTAATGATTTATTTGTAAGTGTTGTTGTTTCATATTTATTGAAAAACTTGTTATATTATTTTTATTACGGGACAAAGTGGTCATTAAAACGCAGTGCTTTTAGTTTTAGTGCTTATAGCTGTTTATACCATAGTGGGCCACTTGGTGAGAAAGTAAATTTGCATATTTTAAATTTTGACTGTGAAATAACAAATAATAGAAATTTCTATTGATTTAACAAATATTTGTTGTATTTGCTAAGCTATATTTTAAAATTTTGTTTTCCATCTTTGATTGTTTTCTTGACAATTTATGTCCCTAAATTTGATTGTAACTAAAATGAATTTCAAAGTACTTAATTTAATATTTCTCCTAACAAATATTTGGTTTGGAAATAAGCTAATCACATTTATAAATAAGATATGAGAAAAAAAAGGAGAACTATTGCTAATTCATAACCAAGGGAATATGAAAATAAAAGGCTATGTTTAAAAACACTAATCGGAGTTTGTTGAAAATTGTTTCTACAGCACTGGGGCCAGCAGTTACTCTTGATTATTGCCCATTACCTCCTGGTTATTTTAAGCACAGAAGAAATTCCAGAAGCAAGTGGAGACTTCTTAATTTTAAATTCCATGTCTTTCTTTGTGTGCAAAACTCCCATTTTCTTGTATTTTATCTCAATGTGCTTTCAGAAGTATTTTGGCATTACACAACTCTAAATTTTGTAAAGCACCAGATTATTTGGATAATATGCCACCTTAAATTTTATATTTTAATTTACCTGGGTTGTTTTACTAAACATAGAGGTGGTTATGCTGTGATGTATTAAACAAAAAATACACTCTAAGCTATTTCTTGCTTACACTTCTAACATTTTGTGTATGATGAATACCCAAATTTCACTCTTTACCCCTTTGCTACTTTGCACCTGCTGCCTGTTATCTGAAGTTTATTATTATTTTTGTTTAAAGGTCAGAGATTAAATTTAATTAAATTACTGGATGTTTTCATGTGAAAATATTTTTATAACATTTCAAGTGTGATGATTGGAAATTTAAAAAATGGTATGAAGGGCTATTAAAAAATTGTGAAGCATTTAAAGAATTTTGTTACACCAGCAATAATGATAATTTATATATCAGATGATCATATGCTTCATCTCTAAAGGATAGACATGAATGAAGTTAAGTATATGAGAATTATTATTCAAAGAGGTTAAAGGCTCTGAATATAACAAAACTCAATGCAAATAGTTACTTTACAATATGTCACAATATTATAAAATATAAGAAATTCCCCTGGCAGACTGTAACCTAGAATCAATTCAGGATGGAAATAATCAATGAAAGCTATTGAGCTGCTGGAATCAATTTAACATGGCCAACCTCATGAAGTGGATATAATAGAGAATAGTTGAGTGACTTGTAGTTGAGCTCAAGTTGTTAATGTTAATTGAACTCCATTAGGCCACGGCATAAAAAAATCTGCTTATAATGGGTTGTCATAGAAATACAAGCTCTTGAAGCTTTGAAATCTAAAAAGTGATTACAGACCCCTGGGTGACAAATTACAATTTAAACCCCAGTGCTTCTTATTGGGAAGACCAGTTGATATTTTGACTAATAAATTATAAAAAGGCTACCTCATTTTTAAAAATTTACAGCTCATTTCCTTATTTACTTTACATCAAACACTCTCTTCTTACTATTTTCACCTCACAATATTCGACACCCCATTTTATTTGACACCACATAATATAATATATAATTTTTGTCCATGCATTCTCAGCTAATTTGTTTCAATTATTAAAAAATCTACTTTAAATTTTGTTGAAAACATTATTTTATTATAATTATATTTTTAAACTATTTTATTTGATGCAAAGTGTATTTTAATTATTTCATGATTGAATTGAAAATCTTAGCTCAATACATAGTACGTACCTGAATTGTCTATATTTTAAGATTTAGTGTTACATTTTAATAAAACACCATCAATCCCCTTTATTCAACTCAAGGGTAGTTTCTAATCTTTTTTTTCCTTAGAGATTAAATAATTTCAATTCTAAGATATAGTTTGATGTCATTCTTATTAAAGTTAATTATGAATCTTTTCATAAATGCTATATTATTAATCCAGACAACAACCTATTGTAGAGATACCTAATATGTGGAATGTTGCGTTTGTATAATGAAGAAACATAAAATAGTATCAGAGAGTGTACTTGTGATTTTGTTCATTCTGAAATGTGCTATAAAAACTCTGTTTTTTCAATGTTATTTTTTTATTTAAAAGGTTGGTGACATATATTTTTTTTGTGGTCTCCCTTTTTAACACATAATTTCAGAAGATGTCTTGGAAACTTAAATTTTCTAGAGATCTCAAAGCAAAATAAAATGGTTTGATTTTCTTTCAGGGCTCATTTCTTTTTGTGAATTTGCAGACTAGTTGTAATGTGCATGTGCTTAAATGATTCAGTTATTTTGATTAAAAGGAAAACAATTTATAATGCATTGAGCAGAACTTGAAAGAAAGCTTGAAATAGCCTGATGATTAAGGTACATAAGATGTTCTTGATAGCTGAATATTATTTCACTATCTACAGCAACTGATATAAATCGACTGGGCCCTCCTCCAGCTAAGATTCTAAGGACTACCAAACCCAAAGTTTTCATTGCTGATGGCAAAGAGACACCCCTGAAAGGCATATGTTTAGTTTTTACTCGCATGCCATCCACAAGCAACACTAGTGTCACAGAAGCCAATATGATTAAGGTCAGTTCATTCTCATCACCTGGGCTTGAAAAGAGAGGTATGAAAGGTAAATTATTTTATATAATTTATGTAATTAATTTCCTATTTCATCACTTTGATGCATTAAATACAAGAAATAATCAGCTTTCCAATTTCCAAATCAATACAGGAAATTAATTTCACAATGCTGGACTGTAATGGCCAAGGTACAAATGGACGGGGATTGTTGCATGCAGTTGAAAGTGTTCTGTCTAGTGTATTTATTCCTGCACTGAAGAAGCTTGAGAATGGATGGGATCAGTTGTCCAGTCAAGAAGGAGATGGCATTCGTAGTGGCTTTCTTAATTCTCTGGATTCATTTGTATCAGTTTTAGTTGGTAGGTGCACTTCATAGAGTAAAAATTTAGCAACTGAAATGTCTTTTAAATGTCCTCAAATTGTTTATTTGACTAGATCTGAATCAAATGTGGAGAAAAGAAATATATCTTTTAGCATTAGCATAAACTACAGTGACCCGTATATGGAAAGAAACAATGAAAACTATTTGTACGTAACAAGTTTGTAGAAAGGAAGTTTGTTCGAGTGGAAATTAGTTTAATAAAATTTATTTTGAATGGAAGTTTGTCCAACTAGAAGAAATGGAACCAAAAATATCTTAAACATTGTTTTTTTGTCTTCCCCAATTTTAACTGGCACCTTAAAGATCTCTGTCTAATGACATTTATTTTGAACTTATTTCCATATAAATTTTGTTTGTACAAATGCGGACAACCAACAGGGACCACCTTGGAAAAGTTTTAACTTTTTTTTTTTTTTTTTTTTTTTTTTTTTTTTTTTTTTTTTTTTTTTTTTTTTTTTTTTTTTTTTTTTTTTTTGAGCATTGGTTTATTGATGAATTATTGGAATTGTAATCACACTCCACTGTCTTCACAAATTACAAAAAATGTCATATTTTTTTAAAAAGTAGAATAAAATCAGTATTTTTTTCAAATTTATTTAACACCTATTATCTGTTTTGGAAAAGTGTAGACACACAATTTTTAATTCTACCCTCAGTTGGCTGTCTTCTTATTTCAATGATAACTTTTTTATTCAAGATTTTATAACCTACCTGAAATATATATTTTTATAGTCAATTCAGGCAGATATTTACTCATATCTTGGCCTGGGGACTACCCTGAAACCATTCAAATCTGCCTTTTCCTGGTTATACGGCAGACATGCTACCAAAATCAGTGATGTCATGTCACAATTTAAAAGGAAAATACGTTTTTAAATCATGTGAATGTTCCAGTATTTAATAGCAAACAGTTTCTTATTTTATATTGCACTAACATAACTTGTGTTTAATCCAATGGCTAGAGTACAAAACTAATTTAGCTCTATGCTGTATTCATTTTTTCAAAATTATGTTTTAAAGACATGGGCAGTTTATTACAGTTTACTTTTAATTACTCTAAAAGGCGCTCAAGAGAGCCTGGATGACAAAGTGACCTTGAAGCCTTGTGAGAATTATGACTTGACCAAGGTGAACACTATAAATGATTACCAATCTGTAGCCAACAGCACTGAGTCTCTGGAGAAGATTGAGGACTGCATGAGAGTCTGGATAAAACAGATTGAGCAGGTTGGTAACCTTTGTAGCTTCTTTCCCTTTTGCTTAATTTGTTTAAAATGAAAACTGTGTAAGGTACATCATAATAGAACATGTGTAACATAAAAAGTCAGACAGAATGATAGGTCATGTTTACCATAATGAGTCAGACAGCATAATGGGACATGTGTACCATAAAAAATGCAACATCATAATAGGACATGTGTACTATAAAAAGTCAGACAGCATAATAAGACTGAATGAGAATTTTGGACCATAATAGGATAGGGTTTAGGTAATTAAATAGAGACAGCATAATTAGACATTTGCAGCTTGATAGAAAAATGGGAAGGACAATTAAAAAAAAAACAACATTAATCATAGGACACTGGCTCTATGATATAGATGCACTAGCCTTAGACTCATTTTTTTTATCTTGAGATTTTTTGCTAACTCTACTCAGGAGAGCATCATTCCCATTGCTGCAAGTAAATAATTTTCATAAAATAACTGTTTACACATTGAACAAGAAGTTAATTTCCTCTGTGAAGGTTCTTGCTGAAAGTGAACAGATGAGACGTGAAGCTGATGACATTGGACCCAGAGCTGAACTTGAACACTGGAAGAAACGAATGTCCAAGTTTAATTACCTTGTGGATCAGATCAAAGGTCATGATGTCAAGGTTGTTCTAGGAATCTTACATGCTGCCAAGTCCAAACTAATCAAGGTGTGTGATGTTGTATTCCGTAGAATTATTATGAGAAGAAACTCAATACAGTAGAACCTGGTCATGTTGACGGCCTCGGGGTTTGCAGAAAAGCGTCGAGATAACCGATGATCGAGACAGCCGAAAACCAATATGGCAGCAATATATTAACAAGTGCTTGAAATTTCTTTATGTACATGATGTGCGTTAATAAATGCAGGTACTTAAGTATAGAAAATAATTAATAATTCTTAAAATATTACAGTTATTTTTACAGTTATTTCGAGCAAATTTCAAATTAAAAAAATGAAACCAGAATCAATTTTTTAACTTTAGAACTTTTTGAGCTACGAATTTTTAAAGTGCGAGTTCATTTGGTATTTTCTACTAGGGACGAAGCCTGCACATTTTGTGACCTTATTCTGCTGATCGTGTCTTGCACAACGACTATATAGTTTATATAAGGCAATGCATCCCCTTAATATTAAAATACTATTTAGGGACTACTTATTTTGAACTTTCAACTTTGGCACATGACTATTTAATTAAAGCTTTCCCTGACCAATGGTTTAATAGCTTTTGCACACGACAAACTCTTATGAATGAAACTTTGATGTAGTGCCACGGCATAGCAATTATGCAAGTGACCGTGAATGGCTGTCCATGACTACGTTTTGCTCACAGCAAACTATGATCATTTATAATATGGACACTACCGGGTTTTTAAACCTAGAATTAAAACATATTTATTTAAATTACTTCTAGGTTCATTCTAAAACACAAGTCCTGTATTTTGAGAAATAAATAATTATTTTTAATTATGAATAATTGTTTATTTGTTGTTTGCTATTTCTTCTTGCGAAGTTCAAAAGTCGGCGATTGGTCATGGGGTTAGAGATAACCGAGGTTAAGTGGCAAATTTGTCAGCCTTTTGTGCTCGAGATATCAGGGTTTGGCGACATAAAAGAATCAACATAGCCGAGGAGAAAATGCTAAGACAAAGGGAGAATTTGGCGGTTCCACTTCAAAAACGTCGACATTACAGGGTTGGCGAATTAACCGAGGTCAAGATAAGCGGGTTGCACTGTATTTTGTTGGATACATAAGTTTACAATGTTTCATCACATTGCTGTGTAATGGTACGGCTTCAACTACTCTGATCTAGATTTGGCAAGAGCTTGACAGACGTATTACTGACACAGCCAATGAGGCCAAAGACAATGTTCGTTTCCTCTACACTCTTGAAAAGCTATGTGACCCACTTTATCACAGTGACCCAGTGAGTACTTTAAAAAATTTTTCCAGATATAATATCCAAATTATTCGATTCTTGCTTTTAAATTAAATTAACCTTGCTTAATGTAGTTGCTTTATCCCTTGGTTCATTTCTGGAAAGAAAGATTTAACTTCACTTTTTGTTTCATTGTTTTTATGCTCATACAAACATAAGAAATAGGAAACAATTAAAATTATTTCTGTCCTCCAGGTTGGAATGTTGGAAGGTATCCCAGCACTGATCAATGCCATCAGGATGGTTCACAGCATATCTAGATACTACAACACTTCAGAGAGAATGACCTCCCTTTTTGTAAAAGTAAACAAAAACACATTAGCTCTAAATATTTTGATTTTATTTATTTTCTTTGTTTTTAACTTATAACAAGTAGTGGGATAGAAATAATTTAACAACCGGTTCTTTGTCCTAATGACCATTTTAAATATAAAAAAACAAATACCATTAGGTAGGTTATTATTTCAATGTGGGAGCATACATTTTATAAATCTTAACAGAAATTTTTAAAAATAGTATAATAATTCTTTTCAATCTTCTACTATCCTTATTTTATTTTATAATTTCATTTATAGTTCCCTATTCTTGTTCCATGTTTGCTTATATTTTTTTAATGCTTCACTGCGTATCACAGTTTGCCCAATCAAGAACATGTTATGTATCTTAATGGAGATGAGCCATCATCATTGAACATTTATTCTTCTGCAATATTCCAGTCAGCCAGCAGAGACCATTCAAATGGCCTACATCTCTCAGGAAATAGTCCTGTTTGGCCAGCTCAACAACCAAAAAAAAATGTTTTAACCTTTGCCTGTATGTCCCATTTTGAGCATCCGGTTATTTCATTACATAATCTTCAGATCACCAATCAGATGATCACAGCCTGTAAATCATATATCACTGACAACAAGATTGAGACAGTCTGGTCCCAGCCAACAGATGTGGTGAGACAGAAACTTGGTGCTTGTATTGGTCTTAATGATGATTACCAGAAACATTTTCACAAAACAAAGGTACACAAAATATTTTCACGTCACCGGTTATGATGCCATGGCATATATAAATAACATACTTATTAGTTTTAGTATTGATGTCTTAATAAAAATTTAAGTTTATAATTGTCAGATAGATTTTTCAGGGTTATGAATCTTTCATTTAATCTTAAAGTGATGAGATACTGTAAATATTATTCTTCATCAAAAGTTTAGCTTGATAAAATAGATTAATGAAAATTCTACCTACAATGTTGCTTGCTTTCTTAGGCAAAACTTGAGACCACACCCAATGAACGGCCGTTTGACTTCTCAGAAATGTATATCTTTGGCAAATTTGACACCTTCACAAGAAGACTAAAAAAAATTCTGGACATGTTTGATACCATAGACAAATATTCCCATCTGTCAGAAAGCAAGATTGAAGGTGGGTGGTCTCTAGCGTGGTTTACCAATGTAGTGGCATATTTCAGATTTGAGAGTTTTTCTCATGGCTGATGATAGTTGTAATACAGCAATGGGCTTTCTTTCCCTAAGATCATTTCCTGATTTAATCTTTATCTATAATGCCAGTTTGTCATTTGAGATTTATTATTTTTTGTTAAACTTTTCCTACTCCAGTGGGGCTCTTGTTACTTAACTTTTAAGCAAGCTCTTTTTAAAAATTTTTTGCTGTGAATTATGTTACAGAATATTTATGTTCATTTTATTGTCAGGTATGGAACTCATGGCCAACAAATTCAATGTCATTGTGACAGCCATACGCAAACGGCCATATGATTTCTTGGACCAACGTAAGATGGAGTTTGACCAGGACTATGAAGACTTCAAGAGACAGATAAATGATCTTCATGTAATAAGAATTTCCCTTACCGATAACTTTGGCTGAACTGTTTTATTTCTTTTGAAATAGTAGATTTTTGGTGAAGTCCACTTACTGATAAGTTTGATCAAATAGAATGTTATACAAAAAAGTGGAAAATGAGCCAGGAAAATTCTGTGTTAACAAGCATTGGTTCACTCAAACCATTTGATTCGAAATCCAAATTGCTCAAAATATTGTCTCGATTTTTTTCTTACTCCGCGCATGCATTTTAAGTTTTATTTTCTCTGTACAGACAGCCATTGTGACCTTTATGGATCAGAAGTTTGAGAAGATCACAAGCACACAACGAGCTCTTGTCCTTCTCAAAAAGTTTGAGATGTTACAGCTGGACAACCTCGGGATACCAGAAAAATATCAACGGATTCTACAATATTACAGGTGTTTTTTGTGGCTTTGACTTAGAGATGACATCATAATTTATGTATCTGGGCATTCTAAAAGGAGTATTTTAAATGAGACTATGGCTTAAATATTTTACATTGTATGGTAACATATATTGATACTATTTAAATGACTACTACAGTTAATTAGAACATTACTAATTTCAAAAATGTTATTAACTATTTTGCTATGAATCATCAGCCGTGATGTTGACATGGTGTCAAGGATTTACCAAAAGCAGAAGAATGATCCACCCCTGGACAGAGATCACCCACCTATTGGAGGAAAGATTTCGTGGGCCCGGCAACTCTTCAGAAGAATTCAGGTGCCCTAAAATCTCCTTAGATGTTTTTTTGCTCCATATTTTTTATAGTTACAAAAAAACGAGCCTGACATCTTAATACCTCGGCTCTTTGTGTTTAGAAATTATCTCTTGAGCACTCACCTGTGCTCAGTTCGTTAAATCCGAACTCTCTTCTACAGGGTCCCATGGAAGTTTTCCAAAGACATGGGACTATTCTCCAGGGCTCAGAGGCCAAAAAGATTGTGAAGAATTACAACAAGATTGCCAAAGTGTTGCTTGAATTTGAAATGCTCTATCACAGAGGCTGGCTAAGACAGGTAAATAAATACTACATCACAGAGGCTGGCTAAAACAGGTAAAAAAAATACAATACATTATGTAAAGTTATTTAACAGCTGAGCCCTTAATTAACCTCTCAATCTACAAATCTCTGACCTAAGATTGGAGACACCTCTTGGTATTTTCTGATAATGTCAAGCTACACAACAAAGCAAAGCACACATTCTATCCTCAGATGGAAGCTGCCAAATCTGGTCTGCAGGCTTCTCTGTTGGTGCGCCACCCAGAAACCAAACAGCTGTACGTCAACTTTGACTTTCACATCTTCACCATGATCAAGGAAACCAACCACATGTTCAACCTGGGGCTGGAGATCCCGCCCATCGCTAAAACCATGCGGGCTAAAGAAATGGAATACAAGAACAACTACTCTGCACTCTGTGTGAGTTATTTTACTTTTTTCAGTAGTCCTATTGCTAAATCAGTCACAGTGCTGAAGGATAATTGACTTCTCCCTGAAAATAAGGTTTAATAGAAGGGTTGGTTTCACCTGGGGCTGTAAATTCCTGGTGTCGCCCCTCCGGACTTCATGCCCTCAACCAACCAGATCATACAGCATTGCATACTGTATTGTTTTTAAATGGAGTCATACAAAAACAAAAGACATAAGAAGATAACATAGAATTTTAGGTAACGGCTTTTATGAAATGCAACAAAATTATTTTTTTATTAAACATTTTAGTTTTATAGTTAAAACTTTACTTTCCTGGTCTTCAAATAAGCAAACCTATCAATCACTTCATCAAACCTGTCAATTACTTCATCGAACTTGTTGATCACTTCATCAAAATTAACATTCTCCACCTTAATACTTTCAAAGACATAATTGTAAGAACAGAAAGTCTGGACTGATCCTCCCCGGTAGATTGCAAATAGTTCTTTGTAAGTTTCAGTTTTGAAAAGATATTCTGACATGAAGCTACGCACAGTGAGAAATAATTATTGGTTTAATGAGAGGACTGGAAGAGATTCTAAGAAGTCCCAAGAAGTGTGTGTTGTACGTTGTGTGCACTAATGTGCACAAGGGTCTCATAGAGCTTCAGTCTGCGTTATACATTCATCAAAATTTTCTTCAGCTTGTTTTACTGCAGCATTAGGAGTACTCCAGCATGTTCTTTATATTGAAGTCCAAGTTGTTCAATTAAAACATCCCATCTATGAGTGGAAGCAGAGAGATGGAAAACATTCTATCAAGAGTACCAAAAAACAAGGGTACCCTTGTGCCTTGGGCTAAAAGATTGAAATTATATAACCATAACAATTATTACAGAGACGTGCATTAGCCCTTTTAGTCCTTTAAATTTAGCAGTTAATTTAAAAGAACCATATATAAATGGGATTGCCATACGAGTTTATTGTTTATATTTTTCTGAAGTGAATGCTGTGGGCATCACAAACTTTAGCTGCATTGCCAATCTTGTGGAAAATGTACTAGTGACTGGAACCCCTCTGTAGGAACCCTGTTCTTGTGGCACCCTGTTCTGGTTGTACTCTGTCTGATGGCACCTTGCTCTTAATTTTAACTTAGATATGTTATTGAACTGACTTAAGCAAGCTCTGTCAAATTTGCAATTTTACTTTGGGTCACCCCCCTGTGACGGTGTCACCCGGTGTGGCCAGCACATACACCCCCCCCCCTCCCTGGACACCACTTCATCCAACTTTGATTTTATTATAAGCAAAAAATATTATAAGCAGATCAACAGTCTTTTATCCTTATCATCAATTTTGGATCTAGTAATCTTTGTGAGAGACAAATGAAGATTTTAAAAAAATTGTTTAGTTTATGGGATTAAAATAAAAATGTTTTATTTCCAGATAAAAAATTAATTTAATAAGGTGAGGCGCCCCCCCCCCCCCCCCTAATGAAAATTTTAAAAAAAATGTTTAGTTTAAGGGATTAAAAAAAAAAATTTTTATTTCCAGATAAAAAATTAAATTAATAAGGTGAGGCGCCCCCCCCCCCCCCTTTTCCACCCAATTGATGCAATTGAACATTTCATCAGCTTTACATGTCCTTGCTTTTAAAAAATATCATTAGTGTTACCTTTCAATGCAACCTATTTTTCTATTTCCCTCATCCAAAAGGATCCCTGCTATAATGGGCGTTGGATCAGAATGATGATCATTTATTTCCCTTAAATTTTTTAGATGATGCTGGAAGAAAACAACAGGGTTCGCAGAAAGATTCCAGCCGCCTTTGAGGCACTGATGGGTCTACACTTGGCCAAGGTGGATGATGTCCTTGAACCTGGACTGACAATGCTCTCATGGACTTCCATAAAAATCCCAGACTTTATAGAAAGTGTTTACCGGTAAATGACCTCCAGTGCTGTACATGTCTGATAGGCCCTCAAATGAGAATTAATGAATTAATGATTATAGACTTTTGATTGTGTGAGCTGATTGCAGGGCTGGCTTCCTGTCTTCCTCACTAACTGACTGGAGTTAAAATGGTGAAAACAAATTGAACAAAAACTTGTAGAAAAAACTTCATAAACTTGCACTAGGCTTAAAATTGTTTTCTCTCCTAAACAACAGTGCATATCCATTTTTTTTCATCCTTTTGACACCTTTTTCATTGTTGACAAAGTTTAAATATGTTCATTTAGGTTCACTCTTAGTAATTTCATATAAGACTGTAAGCCTTGATAAATCTGTTTGAAAAATGCTTATGATTATCTTTTGGGGTGTATGCACAATTCCTACATTCACTTCCTAAAATCTTGATATTACTTGTATTTAATGCACTGCAGAGCTCTTGCTGAACTTGAACTATTGGTGGATCGAGCCCATGATGTAACTGAATTCAGGATTGATGCCATACTAAGGGAAATGGCCTCAACCACGCTGTGTGAATTACCCGAAGATGAACCCTGGACTGTACCAGATTTCCTGGAGAATACTCAGGTATTGTTTCATTAGTTATTAATTATTAATTGTTTCCTTGTTTTTTTTTTCAAAGCATTTCTTAAATCTTTTTTTTTTTAAATTATCACTAATTAAGTAATTAAAAAAATGTTTTATCAGTACAAAAAATTAAATAAAGTTCAGTTAAACTTGGCATGAATTTAAAAGCTAGAAAAATTAATGAAACCAAATATATATTTCTTATGCATTCAAACTATATGTTTGAATAGAAACTTTGTGCCAAGGGAGCTCATATTCTACAAACCAAGAGTCAGACTGTAGAGGAGGCTGCTAATGAGTTGATCAATATGCTGTGTGATTTAGAACCCAAGGAAAGAGAGAGCATCATGGATGAGGAGGAAGAAGAGGATGCAGGATTTGAGGAGGAGGAAGGTGGGTATGGAATGAAAGAACATCCATTCTAAGACAACATATTTTAGCATACCTTAAAAGATTTTTTTTAGTGATGAGAAATATAAATAATATGGTACTAAATTTAGGGTCACATTTGACTAATTCTTTAAATTTGACTGCTGTAATCTAAGACTTAGACTTCAACACATTTATTCAAAGAATTGAATGGTAACATAAAAATGACAGACTCCATTGAGTTTAATTAACATAAAAATGATAAGCTAAATTAACAGACGTAAATAACATAAATAACAGATGAGAAAGAGAAAACCATTGGCAGAGATGACACCAATGGTGGCTCAGCTGCCCACTCACGGGCAGGTAGCCGCAAGTCTCGACCAATTTCATCAAAACTGAACGCTGCTGCGAAAAAGAAGAAAGAAATGAGAGATAACATTGAGGAGTCTGCTGGAGAATTGCTGAACCATTTTAACAGCAGGAACTTGGATGCACTACTCAGAGCCACAAGGAACACACTGGAAGCTCTACGAAAACGAATAACATCGAGTTCCATGGCACACTATATAGGTAAGGTTTAAAAAATATCACTGTGTAAAATGTAACTTAAAAATAATGTGATTTTAAAAGTATGCAGTTAAATTTTGAAATAAATCTTTCATGAATTATTTTTTAAACCTTACAAATATTTACAATGTTTTAAATACAATTATAACATTTTTCATCTTATTCAAAATGATTGAGATCCTATGTATTAATTGAAGCTCAAAGTTACCCAAAAATTCTTTAAAAAAAAGTATGGCTTGAAAGGCATTCATTGAAATATCCTTAAATTAACAATTTAGGTGATAGTTCTTTGTACGGGGATCAAAAACGAGATAGCCGACCATTCTTTCGCACAAATGCCACCCTGGCAATACCTCAGATTGTGATGCATCCAGCACTAGATGAGGTCCAGCAGGCACTGAACAGAGCTGTGCAGAATGTCATCAGTGTCAGTGGTGCTGTGGCTCAGTGGAGCAAGCAAAGAAGGAAAATTGTTAAACCAGGTTGGGCAATTAAAAAGTTTTAATACTTGTTTAATCTAGGAACATTTTTTTCTGTAGTTAATGCTCTACAACTTTTTTTCATTGGTCTGAAAGGTAAATAGAGATTATTTTAAACTGGCAATTTTAGTATAATTTAGTAATAAGTTTTACAATTTATTTCAAGATAAGATATGTTCATTTTGTTCTAAATAAATCATTTAAATTTTTTTTAAAATAAATTTTATTATAAGTAAAGACAAATTAAATTTCTTTTTCACAGCATTAAAGGTAATAAAGACAGCATCATTGTGTCATTATTTCACTTGTCAAACATGTTAATCTATCAAGTTTGAATGTTGCTTCACTTTGAAAATATTTTGTTGGAATTTAAATTTACATAATACAGTTCTGAAAGAAGTTGTAATAAAATATTTCAAATAATGAATTAAAAAATTGGGCTTAATGAGAAACTTTGGTCTATGACAGAACTTAAGTTAAAGCTAAAAAGTAAAAATCATTTGGCTGTTATAGAAGTGTGCTGAAATAAAAGCTTTGGGCTAAAATAGGGCTCTAAACAATTAATATGTGCTACAATAGGACTCTCAACAATTTATATGTGCTACAATAGGGCTCTCAACAATTTATATGTGCTACAATAGGGCTCTCAACAATTTATATTTGGGCTACAATAGGGGTAAAGGACAAAAATCTATGGACTCTAGGATAACTTAAGGAGGAGTTTTTATGAAGTATAAACATTTAGAAAAATGTATAGTTTAATGTATAGTTTACAGTAATACTTTTCACTCACATATTACTGAGTAGTGGATTTCACATGAATGTTTTTATTTTAATGCCAATCACTGCTAACAAAGTACCAGACATTAAGCAATTACATTTTAATTGATAAATTATTTTGTTTGTTAACATTAAATTTATTCTTAAATGATTTTTTAAAGATTTGTTTTCAAAATATGAAATTGTTATGAATGAAATTATTCCATACAAGTTAATCATACATTTAAAAAAAATAATTTTCTATGCCGGTAAATCTATTTTATAAATTACTTCTTATTGGAGCATAAAAAGAGTCCATTAGTACTTGATTGAAGATGTAAAAATTTTAATTGAGATATAACAAACATTTGAAACATTTTTTCCACTGCATCTTATCTCCTAGCACCAGGTGATCAGACTCAGTTGGGTGAAGGAATGGATCGTCGCGGCAGTATGGCTAGTTTAGCCCCGTCAGAGGTCTCTCACGTGGACAGTCATGGCAAGAAAGATGGAGTGGAGTCAGTAAAAAACTATGCCATCACAGTCAAGTCCAACAACTATCTCAAAGCTGTTGCAGATAACAAAGAGATAGCCAAGCTGACCTCACTCTTGTCAACAAGTATCAATTCAAATAAAAAGGTAAAATTTTATTAGAGAACTTTTCTTTAGTCAATAAAGCATTAAAATTAATGGTTTGAGCATTGGTCAAGATCCTAAAAGCTGCACCATTTTAACATTCCAAACTGTTGTATTTTTAATAACAAAGCTTGCTATGGTTGATTAAAATGATATAATCGCCACCTCATAACAGGAAGTCACAACAGCATTAGATCAGTTTGCCGACTACCACAAGATATGGGAGAAAGATAGAGATGTGGCCCTGGAAGAGTTCATGAAGGAAGATCCCAAACTGTCTGAGTTTGAGGCTGCTATACGGGGCTTCGAGCAGCAGGAGTTGGCGATTCAAAGTTTACCAGAGTACTACGATGCAGGTCCCATTGCCTTGTACACAGGTAAGATCTTCTTCATTTCAAGTTTTGTTCTTCAGCTAACCAAAAAATAACATTTGGCATTTAAGGTTCATTGGATCAACAGAAGCAACCCATACTATGGAATACAATCCTGGTTGAAATGTAAGACTTTTATTAATATTTTTGTGCAGTTTTAGTGTTTCTAAAGTATTATACTACTAACCAGCTGAATTCAAATTTTTTTTTTTTCAGAGCATCTGAAGATCGGTCTAACAAATGAAACAAAAGCATGGAGAGTGATTTATGGGAAATACTGTAACCAGAAATACAAGGCTGAAATGGATGAAATCTTCAGCTTCATTGAGGACTTGGGCAAACGTCTTGCTCGACCAATCAAAGACCTTGATGACATTAGATTTGCCATGGCTGCACTCAAAGACATAAGAGAGAATGAGATCAGGATAGACATGTGCATAGGTCCTATTGAAGTAAGGGATTTTGCTGATTTGTGAATCAATAAAATAGAATAGGTCTTCACAGGACATGCACTTTATCTTTTCTGAGCAAGGAACACATTAAGAAGATACAATTTTCCTGGAATGTAAATGTTTCACTATCATTCATTATCCATTTCAGTTTTGAAAGCCTTCATAATCCTGCTATTATTAGCCACTCTGAATCCCAACACTTGATTTATTCTGTTGTTGTCTCCTCACCAGGAATCATACGCCATGTTGAACAGACATGAGTTAAAACCAGAGAAGGAAGAGGCTGAGAAATGCGACACACTTCGCTACGCCTGGGAGAGGCTGCAAGCCCAGGCAGTGGAGGTCCAGGATCACCTGATCAAGATACAGCCAGGATTCAAGCAAGAACTCATTGAGCATGTCAAGATCTTCAAAGTGGACTGTGATGACTTCTATGCCAGCTATGATGAGGTTTGTCATTCTTGGTGTTTCCCTTGATTACTTCAAACTTCCCATGGGCAAGGTACATATTTTGGTTTGGGGGGATAAAAACATTGTTATGTCTATCTATTAGGTTTGCTACAGAGCTAAAATTTGTTGTGCAACTTATTTTAAATAGGGATTTCATTCTATTAATGTTAGGTGGGTACTTGATTTAAAAAATGTTTTTGAGAATATTTAACAATAATTTAGCCCCATGTTCAGAAAATAATCCCCCAGTTTTCATCTTTATTTACAGAAAGTTTATACTTTAAAATGCTTTTAAAAAATAAAAATAAATTTTGTTCTTATTGTCTTTTGAAAATTTTGAAATTTTAAGAGTCATTGATTAATTCACATGCTTAACAATATACTTATGCAAGAATATATTTATAAATGTATTGCATTAAAGATTTTGAATTTAAACAACTTTCAGAAAGGACCCATGGTGGCAGGCGTTCCACCCAGAGAAGCTTCTGACAGACTGATCATTTATCAGAACACATTTGACACACTGCACAGGAAGTACATCACCTACACGGGGGGAGAGGAACTTTTTGGCCTTTCGGTGGGTTGACTTCTTCTGTCAAAATCAATAGATATTCTCTTTAGCTTCATTATGATACCCATGCCGAGCTTTGGATTAAAAAAATTTAAAAGGTGATATCCTGCATAAAAACAGTGTTTAAGTACTTATCACTATTGCATTTCTCCTTCACCTGCCCAGTCAACTTATCACTAATGCATTTCTCCTTCACCTGCCCAGTCATCTTATCACTAATGCATTTCTCCTTCACCTGCCCAGCCATCTTATCACTAATGCATTTCTTCTTCACCTGCCCAGCCATCAGATTATCCGAAGCTCCTGCAGATCAAGAAGGAGCTGAACCTCTTACAGAAGCTGTATGGCCTGTACAACAGTGTCATTGACACTGTCCATGGCTACTATGACATCTTATGGCAGGATGTCAATATTGACAAAATCAACAATGAGCTACAAGACTTCCAGAACAGGTCAGATGAGAAAACTGTTTTATCCTAGGCCATCGGTAGATTTAAGAGGATCCCATGTTATTAGGCTTCCAGGCAGATAATAAAATATAAAATTATATGCTCAAGAAAGAATATATTGCATGATGGTAACCTAAGTGTGAAAAGAAAATCCCTTCCGTGATATTAAGTTCATGGATATTTCTCATACAACTGTCCCCATCTACAAATGACTTATGTCCCATCAAACAGTGGGTTGTTATCAAAAAGTAGATTTTGTCCATCACAAAATGGGTAGTGCCCATCTCAAAGTTGGCTATCTCCCATCTCAAAGTGGTTCTTCTTCTTCTTATATTTGAGGGGCCCACGATCAATTTGTTGATCATTCTGGCTCCTGGTTTAGATTCAGAGTTTGCCTTCTCTTAGATGGGTTGCCGTCCAAGGCTAACTAGCCCCATCCACCCGGGGTGCTTGGGGCTAACTAGCCCCAACTACCCGGGGTGCTTGGTTTATGTCCATCTTAAAGTGGGCTATGTCCCAATTAAAGTGGGTTCTGTTCTATCAAAGCAAGATGAATCCCATCTCAAAGTGGGTTGATTCCCATCAAAAGTGGATAAGCTGTTGGGTTTAGCACTTAGCCAGGCAGATAATTATAACAAAATAAATTGTTTGGACATTTTGGTTCACAGAAAAAATTTTGGTTTATTTTTTCATCAGATGCCGCAAACTTCCCCGTGCCTTGAAAGACTGGCCAGCATTTGAAGACCTGAAGAAGACAATTGATGACTTTAATGAGATGGTGCCACTTCTGGAGCTCATGTCCAACAAGGCAATGAAACAACGGCATTGGCAGCGCATGTCAGATGTCACAGGACACCATTTTGATATTGATGGTGAGAACTTCACCCTCCGCAACATTTTAGAGGCCCCCTTGCTGAAATATAAGGAAGAAATTGAAGTAAGTTGGGGGATATTACAAAATTTTTACATATGGTTATGAGAGTTCCATTTTTAATAATTGTGAATAATTGATTTTTTTTTTTAAATAGTTTGTTTCACCCATCAAACATTAGTTATGAAAATGACTTGTACGATACATAATAAACATCATACATATATTTTAACAATATTATTTTAAATAGAATCATTTACATGTGCCTTTTTAAAAAAATAAATAATGAGCCATTATGATTTAATAATTTGCCTACTCTTATATTTGTGGAGCCAAAGCAATTCTCAGTTTTCATTAAATTTAGACTTGTTATTTTGTCAAGATTTTTTCTGTTTGAGATTTCAATTTAAGAAAAAAGCAATGTCTGATTCAAACATCAAAGTGAGATACATTCCTATCACCTAGAATAATTAAATAAAAAAATTTGTAACTTATATAAGACAAAGAAAGACATTTAATAGGGTTCACTCTAAAAAAATGTATTCATTGATTCCCTTGACCGTAATCTGTTTCCCTCTAGGACATATGTATCAGTGCGGTTAAGGAAAAGGATATTGAAGCGAAGCTGAAGCAGGTTGTCACTGACTGGGGAACCCAAGAGTTCACATTTGGCAACTTCAAAAACAGAGGAGAGCTTCTGCTTCGTGGTGACACAACCAGCGAGATCGTGTCCCTTATGGAAGATTCCTTGATGGTCCTTAGCTCACTTCTTAGCAATCGGTGAGATGCTGTCTTTAACAATAGAAAGAGAAATTAAAAACATCAATAAAAATCAAAGATCAGACTCTGAATTGTCAGACAAAATCAATGATCATAAATATTCTATTAACAATATGTTTTGTCCAAGGAGCAACACTTTAATAAAAAAAAGTGTATTCAATATTTATCAAGCAAAACTAAACCATAAAATATTGATAGATGTTATGAACTACAGTTGAGTATGATATAGCGCTTTAATATCTTAAATGATGACAGTCATCGCTTGTCAGTTTATGTAGATTTCTAGAACTAAATTTTGCTTAAATTATTACACATTTCTCATAATTTATCTTTTAAAGTTGGAAAAGAGAAGCTTTATTTGTCAGAATGCTTAAGCTTTTTACACAATTTTCATGTTAACTTCATGTGGTCCAATTTTTTTTAATCCATCTTGATTTCTTTAAAAAAGAATTCCACTGTTTATATCTCTGGCCATCTCTTGTCATCAGATACAATGCTCCCTTCAAGAAAAACATCCAGACATGGGTGGCCAACTTGACCAACTCCTCAGAGATCATTGAGAATTGGATGACTGTACAGAACCTCTGGGTCTACCTGGAGGCTGTCTTTGTTGGTGGTGACATAGCCAAACAACTGCCCAAGGTAATTCATTGTGAAGAGTGGTGTTAACGATTTGTTGCTCTAGTCTTCAATAAAATATTTATTTTAACATTTGCTATGCACTTATCTTGCCTACAATGTGAACAAGTAAATACAAAAAATATATATATTAGATCAAGCATTTTTTAATTGATCCAGCTTGTCCAACTTACAATTGATAGAATAAAAGTTTTTTGTTATTTGAAAATAAATTAAAACACAGAATATAGCAAAGAGATAACCAAAGAAATTGTTTAGGGGTACCACGCTATATAAAACCACTAATAAAAATAATATTGCAAGCTGTTTTTTTTTCCTCTATTAGGAAGCCAAGCGTTTCAGCAACATTGACAAGTCATGGGTGAAGATAATGACTAAAGCCCATGAGACACCAAACGTTGTACAGTGTTGTGTTGGGGACGAGACTCTGATGCAGCTTCTCCCCCACCTCCTGGAACAGCTGGAGCTTTGCCAGAAATCTCTCACTGGGTCAGTCATATTGGTTTTTTAAATTTTCTTTCGCAGATGTAGGACAATTTCGCAATTCTAATGATGCCTTGCTCGATGGCCTATACATTTTTTTTATTATATATATAATGGGTTTAGAAAGCAAGCATATATTATTACAGAATGTAATATGCTTAAATATGTGGTGAGCAGTAAACAAAAGTAAACAATCCTGAATTTCAATCTCTATTTGTCTGTGTTTTGCTAACCCAAATGCACCTATGTGTGAATCAGGACTAAAAGAGTTCTTGTCTTACAGTTATCTGGAGAAGAAACGATTGAGCTTCCCAAGGTTTTTCTTTGTCTCTGACCCCGCCCTCCTTGAAATTCTGGGTCAGGCCAGTGATCCTCACACCATTCAAGCTCATCTGCTGTCTGTGTTTGATAACACAAAGAATGTGAAATTCCATGAGAAGATCTATGACCAGATTTTATCTATCATCTCATCTGAAGGGGAGGTCATTGAGGTGAAAATTCTTTAAAATGGTTTCATTTACATCAGTTATATTAAAATAGCACATGGAATACAGTTTGAAATAATTTCATTAACGCTTGATATTTATTGGCCTATTTGTTTAAATTATTAAAACTATTTACTTATTATGCAGTTCACAAAAGTAATTCAGTAGTTTTATAGGTGCGCTGTCTTTTAAAATTCTTAACAGTTTATATAAATATTGACAACCCATTTTATATGAATGCTGACAACTGACAACTGACAACATTCAAACAATAAATAATGGGATAACTGCCCTCTTTTTGCAGCTGGAGAAACCGGTGAAAGCTGAAGGAAATGTTGAGGTGTGGCTCATGAGCTTGATGACCATGTCCCAGAAGTCCCTGCATGCTGTTATCAGAACAGCGGCCATGACCATCCAGGACCAGAGCTTCCAACTCTTAGAGTTTCTCAACACATTCCCTGCTCAGGTAGCCATCTCTTTAGCTTAGCTACACCAAAATATTTCTCAGGTAGCCATCTCTTTGACTAAGCTACACTGAAATATTTCTCAGGTAGCCATCTCTTTAACTTAGCTACACTGAAATATTTTGTCATTTTTATTTTTTTAAATATTTTTTTTATTGATGGAACTGCTCTGCAATTTAAAAGGAGAAAAATGTTCTAAAGAGTTACATATTTCATTTAATCAGAGCTAAATTTGTGTAATTTGTTTTCATTTTTTGACATTCTTGAATTTAGATAAAAAGAAAAATTACCTAATTAAAATTTCTGTCTTGCATTACCAGGTTGGCTTGCTTGGTATCCAGATGATTTGGACCAGAGATGCCACTGAGGCACTGACCAATGCAAAGTACGACCGCAAAATCATGAGTACCACCAACGATTCTTTCCTGAAGTTGTTGAACTCACTGATTGACCAGACCACCACGGACTTGTCCAAGGTAGAGAGGACCAAGTATGAGACCCTCATCACCATCCATGTCCACCAGAGGGACATCTTTGAAGACTTGGTGAGTTTTATTGCTGTACTAGGTTATTGATAAATCACAGCTGGTAAGTAATGAATTGATGAAGCAGGTTAGGGATGTGTTATGGCTGGTACATAATGAAGTGTTTTAGCCCACTAGAAAAAAAACTATTTTTAGTTGTATTTTATTTTTAACAAAGACCAAGAATTATTGGCTATGAGAGAAGGAACAGATTTAAATGCAGAAAAAAATTTATAATTTGCAAAAAATAACTTTGTTTTAATTCTTTGTTTAAAAGGTAAAAAAAATTCTGTTTAAAATTAAAAAAAAATGTTTCTAATCTGAACGGCGGTCATTTCAGATTATGATAAAATTAAACAATAATTGATGAAATCATTTTTTAGAAATGTAATTGGTTTTCAATCCATCGAAATTTTAATATTTTAAATACAACAGATTAACTGAAGATAGGAACTGAAGTAGATTCAGGACACAGAAAATGTGTGTGGAAAAAAAGTGTAGTTAAGCATTAATTAAATAGACCACAAAAAAAAAAAAAATTTAAAAATTTTCTGCTACATGTCTCTCTATTGACTAGAAAACAAACTTAAAGAAAAAAAATGTCTATAATTTATATATGGTTTAATTTAAATTCATGAAATTTTTGTACAACTGATGAAAGTTTATATCTTTAATCTAAAAATAGCAGACCTAATTAGAATTGCGTTTGTATGCTATTTAATAATGGGGCAAGTTAGATTTGGTGATGATGGTAATGGGAGGTAATGTGTTAAAATTACTTTTATATTATTATTTTTATTGCTGCTAAATTTTACCAAAACTTTCTATTCTTTGTTTAAAAGTTAAAAAAAAAAATTAGTTCTCAAATAAATGACTTTAAAAAACAAACAAACGATGGTTGGCTTGAAAACAAGATATATATGGCATCCTTCCCTCTTCGCCAGATGATGGGAAGCTATTTACACTTAATCAAATGGCTTTGCAAGATAAACTTAAACTAATCCATTACATCCTTCACCTTACAGTTCTGTACTTGAGATAGTTTTCAGATTTTTGAAACTAAAACAGGGGATTCAGAATGCCCTCAATCTACAAATGACAATAAAACATGTCTGCTTCTGTTTTCAAGAATTCAAATTTACAGTAAAAAACATTGAATGCAAAAGCACAAAAAGTTATTTTTCTCTGACTTTGTCTCTTCAGTACAGAATGCACATCAAGTCGCCAACAGACTTTGAATGGCTGAAACAGTCCAGATTTTACTTTGTGGAAGACCAAGACAAGTGTTTGATCTCCATCACTGATGTGGACTTTACCTATCAGAATGAGTTCCTGGGCTGTACAGAGAGATTGGTCATCACACCTCTCACCGACAGGTTAGGAGAGACTTTAATGATAACTGATTTGGGACTAAGGACCTGGCAGCAAGAGTAAATCTGGGTGTCTTTAAGCCCTTTGGCCACTGGCAGTAAGAGTAAGTGTGGATTTCTTTAAGCCCTTTGGCCACTGGCAGTAAGAGTAAGTGTGGATTTCTTTAAGCCCTTTGGCCACTGGCAGTAAGAGTAAATGTGGATTTCTTTAAGCCCTTTGGCCACTGGCAGTAAGAGTAAGTGTGGATTTCTTTAAGCCCTTTGGCTATGGGGAAGTTTATTTCTGAAAGACATTTTTTTAACCTCTTTCGTCATGTGTTTGATCATTGCAGATGTTACATCACCCTTGCCCAGGCCTTGGGTATGTCCATGGGAGGAGCACCCGCTGGTCCTGCTGGGACAGGCAAAACTGAGACGGTCAAGGACATGGGCCGTTGTCTGGGGAAATATGTTGTTGTCTTCAACTGCTCTGATCAGATGGACTTCAGGGGTTTGGGAAGAATTTTCAAAGGTAATTTTCGTGTTATAGTTCTTTGCTAGATGGAAGATAAAAACCGCTGTTATTGAATGTAGGGAGCTGTCTTTGATGTCTGTCAATGAACGCACTCTTACCTATTGCTGCAAACAAGGAGATTATTAAAATTGCACTTATAATAATTTTAAAGATGCCCCCCCCCCCAACCTTCTTTTGTTTTTCTCTTCTGTTTTACAAATAAGTGTAAATCAAATAATTTAAAATCTTTGTGGATTCATTGAGCTCAACCGGTTGCAATGGAGTCATATAGGGGTCAGCATAGACTAGATTGTATATTGATTGAAAATGATTTCTTAAAATGACATATTTTGAAATAAATAAAAAAAAAACTCTTTGTTTAATCTTTGAGGTTGCAGTGTTATTATTTGATTTGTTTGCTAATTATAGCACTATTTCTATTCTTGTCTACATTTGTTTAACTTGCAGGGTTGGCCCAATCTGGATCATGGGGCTGTTTTGATGAGTTCAACCGCATTGACCTGCCTGTCTTGTCCGTGGCTGCCCAACAAATCGCTATTGTGCTGGCCTGTAAAAAAGAGAGAAAGAAGAACTTCATCTTTACAGATGGTGACAATGTCGACATGAACACAGAGTTTGGCATTTTCCTCACCATGGTCAGTTCTATCACTGAAAATTGTGTTGTTGTCACCATGGCCAGTTCTATTATTTTCCTCATCATGGCCCTTTTAGAAATTCTTCCTTTTTAAAAATTGTGGCATTTTTCAACATTTATGTCAACATCTAAAAAATAAAACATATGTGTGTAATATAAAAATAAATGATTCCTATTTGCTATAAAAATAAATCTTTTATATGTACTATAAAAATAAATCATTTATATGTAGGGCCCTACAATAAAAATAAAGCATATATGTACTATGAAAATAAAACATATATGTGTAATATAAAAATAAATCATTTATATGTGCTATAAAATAAATCATGTATATGTACTATAAAAATAAATCATTTATATTTACTATAAAAATAAATCATTTCTATGTAGGTATAAAAATAAATCATTTACATGTATTGTCAAAATAAAGCATATACGTACTATGAAAATTAAACATATATGTACTATTAAAATAAAACATATATGTTACCATAAAAATAAAACATTTTATGTACCATAAAAATAAAACACATATGTACTATAAAAATAAAACATATATGTACTATTGGGCATCACTGAGAAATAACAAGGGAGTCCTAGGAAGTAGCGGCTGATTTGTATATAATTGACATTTTAACTTTTTTTCTTATGAACAGAATCCTGGCTATGCTGGACGTCAGGAACTACCAGAAAATTTGAAGATTAACTTCCGAACAGTGGCCATGATGGTCCCTGATAGACAGATCATCATTCGTGTCAAACTGGCTGCTGTTGGTTTCATTGACAACATTGTGCTGGCCAGGAAGTTTTTCACCCTGTACAAATTGTGCGAGGAGCAGCTTACCAAGCAGGTGCAGACATGATTTTGTTCATAAACCTTTAGCTACATTAAAACAAATGCATTTTGTTATTGCAGTTGCTTTTAGATCTCTCTTTATTCCTGGAACAGCTTATTAGCACTCATATTTATTTCTCTATACCTTTGTTATTTTATCATGGTTCATAAACCTTTAGACCATTATAACTCAGTCTAAATTTTCTCTTGGTAAAGGTCCATTATGACTTTGGTCTTCGTAACATCCTGTCTGTGCTGAGAACTCTGGGAGCTTTCAAACGCCTGAACCCTACAGAAACAGAGCAAACGGTTGTCATGAGAGTATTGCGTGACATGAACTTGAGTAAACTTGTAGACCAGGATGAGCCATTGTTCGTCTCCCTTATTGGTGATCTCTTCCCAGGTTGGCTAACACTAAGGTCTTCTTGTCACTTTAGGATTAAATTTGTTCTAAAAGAATCTGCTTCATCATCTTATCTCACAGCTAAAGTCACACTATTTAATCCATGGTTTTTTAATATAGGATAAATGTTTGAGAACTATAGGGTACTTTCAAGAAAGTAAGATAATATTTCTTAAATATAAGATAATATTCCTTAAGTATAGGATAATACTCCTAAAATATAAGATGATATTCCTGAAATATAAGATAATATTCCTGAAATATAGGATAAGTGTTAAACAACAGTGGATAAATAACTTCAGATCTAAACCAGAATAGATCAATGAGAACTTATTTTTTTTTAAAATCAACTTTTTGTCAGGTATCACTTTGGACAAGGCTGGCTACCCAGAGCTTGAGGCAGCAATAGCCAAGAATGTTGATGAGGCCAAACTGATCAACCACCCTGAGTGGATCATCAAACTTGTACAGGTTGGTGGAATTTTTGAAACAATATTTTTTTAGGGTATTTTTTTTATTGGGATATGCCTGTTAAGTTTCATGGACTGTTTTCTACTAGATAAAAAAAAAAAAGGAATTTTAAAAACCAATTTAGATTCATGTTCCCATATTTTTTGCACAAGAGTTATTGTTTCTCTAAAAATGTAAGATTTCTTCATTTTGTGGAGAGTGGTAGAGGATTACATACTCTATTACAATTTTTTTTACTTACTGACAAAAAATATCTTTCAAATTAAAAGCTTGTACATTTCAGTAGCAGTCTGACATTGTTATGCATGATTATCTAACTAGGCCTGTTGTAGATTTTATGACTCTAAAAGTCACTCTGACCTAAATAGTCTCTGCTGACCTAAATAGCATCTACTGACCTAAATAGCATCTACTGACTCTTTTATCAGTTGTTTGAGACCCAGCGTGTCCGCCACGGCATGATGGCTCTTGGCCCCAGTGGGGCCGGCAAGACCTGCTGCATTCACATGTTAATGAAGGCCATGACAGATTGTGGAGAGCCACACAAGGAGTGGAGGATGAATCCCAAGGCCATCACAGCCCCTCAGATGTTTGGCCGATTGGATGTCGCCACCAATGATTGGACTGATGGCATATTTTCCACCCTTTGGAGAAGAACAACCAGAGTCAAGAAAGGTAAGATTTCCTATTTAAGGATTTTATGTTTGGTGCAAAATTCTCAAAATAAACCTGGTGATTTTCTAAATAATGTTTCTTCACTTTTGTATGCTGCTGCTGATATGTTCATAATTCAATTATTGAAATGTTTAAAAAAAATGTGTGTTCATTTCAAACATTTAATATAAGTAGGGCTATGAAATAATTTTAATAATGTTTGCTCATTCAAAGTAAAATTAATACTAGACAGAGGACATTAATAAATTGTTTAATTCTAGATGTCCAAAAAAAAACCCAGCCCATAAACAATAGTAAATCATAAAATGTTTTGAAAGCTCCTACAAATTGTGTAAAACTTGACAATTAACTTATCAGACTCACTGAGTTTTTAAAATTTAATAATAATTCTTCCTTATTTGGAGCTTAGATAGACAGTAGAGTATTGTGGAAGAAGTTCACAAGAAACCTTTCTGTTTTATTTTCTCATAGGAGAGCACATTTGGCTTGTGCTGGACGGACCTGTGGATGCCATTTGGATTGAGAATCTCAACTCGGTCCTAGACGACAACAAGACCCTAACCTTGGCCAACGGAGATCGCATACCAATGGCCCCCAACTGCAAGATTATCTTTGAGCCTCACAACATTGACAACGCCTCACCGGCCACTGTCTCCCGTAACGGGATGGTCTACATGAGCAGTTCTGGTTTAGGATGGAGTCCAATTTTGAGAGTTAGCCCCTTCAGTTTTCTATCAGTAGCCTAATTTTGTTTGCATGAGAATTAGATAGTTTAAATTAATTTGTCAAGTCATGTAATTTAACAAAATTTTTTTTAGCGTTTGATTTTAATTAGTATTAATATTGTCAAATGTTATTTTCTTTAAAAATAAATATACTGAAGCTAAGTAGTCACAATTGATATTTAATAATACAATTTTGGTTGAATTAAAAAAACACAGCGGTCATCACATAAAATTAAATTAGTTTTAAGAAAAATCTACATTTTTAAAAAAAATGAGTTCAGAGTTGAATATAACCGATAAATGGGTCTCTTCATCATCTAGGGTTGGCTCAACCACCGGCCAAGCCACGAAAAAGACATCCTTATTAACCTGTTTGAGAACTCCTTCACAGCATTGTGGAACTTTACGCTACAGAATCTTGAGTTCAAAATGGAGATTCTAGAAGCTTTTGTCATTTCTCAGGTAGAGTACCTGATTATGTCATTAAAATCGGATAAAATGACATTATTTTATGCCAAATTGTCCAGATTTAATTTTTCCTCTATGGTATTAATTATTTTGATTTTAAACAAGATCCATTTATTGTTTGTTGACCTTGTTCAATTAAAAAAATTTCTTGGTCTATTCTCCAACACAAAACACACAAAAAAATGACTGTGTCATTTAACCAGGCTTGCAAACTAATGACTGGACTGATACCCATGAAAGATGAGAAGGATGGGTCAGGACAGCTGGCCAGAGATGTGTATGAGCGCATCTATATCTTTACCCTCATGTGGAGCATTGGCGCTTTCCTGGAGCTGGATGGCAGAGCCAAAATGGAAGAATTCCTGCGCAAGCATGAGACCATCAAGCTTGACCTTCCCAAGATCCCTGACAGCCTTGATGCCACCATGTTTGACTTCATGGTTGATGTTGATGGTAAAGCTATAATCTCTTTGTCTAATACTTTTGATTTATTACTTATCAATAATAGTACATTTATAAATAAAAAATATATTCATTATTGGAATTTTATTTATTAATTTTTATATTTTGCCATTCAACTTTGCAAAAATGTCAATCCAAAATTTTAAAGATACATTTATATAATTGTGTGCACAAAATCATTTTCTACTATACTGTTGTTTTTTTTTTACACATTATAATTGAGTAAATATATGGAATTAAATAACACAAATCTCATTGCTCTTTCATATGTGCAAACTGTTACTCTCATTTTCTTAAACAAAAAATATAACCTGAGAAAAAGGGTTGTAGAAGTTTATTGATCAAAATATTATTTTTCCTGCCCAACCCCCCCCCCCCCCCCCCCCCCCATTTCATTCTAACATTCATTGTTCCAGGCAAATGGGTTTACTGGGGTGAGAAGGTGACCAACTATGTGTACCCAACTGACCATGAGCCTGAATACACCAGCATTCTCGTGCCCAATGTGGACAATGTGCGTACAGAGTACCTTATCAACCTGATAGCCAAACAGAACAAAGCTGTTCTCCTGATTGGTGAGCAAGGCACAGCAAAAACAGTAATGATCAACAACTACATGGGACAGTACAATCCTGAGTACCACATTGGTCAGTCTGTCAATTTCTCCTCAGCCACCACACCTTTGATGTTTCAGGTAGGCATGGAAATAGTTAATATGAGTAAATTGGATGTTTTGGGATAACATGTCAGTTAATGACTTTAAAAAAGCTATTCTAAATATTAATGAAAAAAAAGAAGAAGAAAATAATGAACAAATTTTGTTATTAGTTTTGAAATTCTTCTTTGATTAGTTCCCCTTATGTGCTGTCAGATAGGAGTGAATGTTGAAGGTTTTGCTTGTTAATTTCTTGGTACTTTTAGAGAACCATTGAAAGCTATGTGGACAAGAGAGTGGGTACCACATTTGGACCTCCTGCAGGCAAGAAGGCCACAGTGTTCATTGATGACATCAACATGCCAGTGATCAATGAATGGGGAGACCAGATAGCCAATGAGATTGTTCGCCAGCTCATGGAGAACCATGGATTCTACAACCTGGAAAAACCTGGAGACTTCACTACCATTGTGGATATGCAGGTGGAGCTTGTCAGATTTAGAACTTTGAATTTAACCTTCATTTTATCTTGTTACATATCATCATTATAAAAAAATAAACCTGTCTAGTGAACAATCCAACTCAGTTAAATTAACTCTGTGTTTTAAAAAAATAGTTTATTAATAGAATTTGTTCAAGTTAAAATGGTTAAATTCAAATATCTCTACACATCATCATTATAAAACATAAAATTCATTTTAGAAATTGGATACAAATTATACTTTTTATTGTGGTCAAAATTGTAATGAGCAGGTATGGTAATTTTTACATACATCCTGGTTTAGTCAATACTGTGTACTTCTTGACCTCTAGATACTGTTTCTGTTGGCTGAACCATCTTTACAAAAAAAAATTCTGCTATGAAGCAGCAATTCTTAATTTTTTAAATACATTTTTTTTCTCAGTTCCTTGCTGCTATGATTCAGCCAGGAGGTGGTCGCAATGACATACCACAACGTTTGAAGCGCCAGTTTGCCATTTTCAACTGCACCCTTCCTTCCAATCCATCTATTGACAAAATCTTCACTGTGATTGGTTTAGGACACTTTTGCAAGGAGAGAGGTTTCAAAGATGATGTTATTGCCATGGTGAAAAACCTGGTTCCAATTACTAGAAGGCTATGGCAACTCACCAAGGTATTGTATTGAGGGTTAATAATTGATGCAAAATTAAAGAATAATTTTTTGTCTATGAGCTTAAAGTAATCATCCAAATCATTATTTTTCTTTTTACAATGGTTACTTATTTTCAAACATAATTTTTTTTATTTCCAGTTAATTGCTAGAAATGTTTTAAGTATGTGCAAATAACCTTTAATAAAGAATCTTTTGGATTGTATAGTTATTATAACATAATTCACTATGAAAGCTGAAAAAGCATGAACAGTCTTGGTGTCGAAATTTTATTTATTGATTACCGTGAAATATAAACAGAATCTTCATTTTCAATCAATACCAAAGGCTTAGATCAAATCCAGACACCTCGACATATATTCAACTTCATATTTAAATTAAGCAGTGGAAAAAATATAACTTTTGATTTATTTAAATTTATTTCAGATCAAAATGTTGCCAACACCAGCCAAATTCCACTACATCTTTAACCTGAGAGATTTATCGCGCATCTGGCAAGGCATGCTGAACACCCTGAGTTCAGTCATCACAGATGTGAAGATCCTAATGGGCCTGTGGAAACATGAGTGTTGTCGTGTCATTGCTGACAGGTGATGGGGGAGGGAAAAATGTAGAAATTATTGAAAAGTCACAAGTTTAGTGGTGTAATTACTCATTTGAAGAATTTTTATTTTATTGTAATAAGCATCATTTAAAAAAAATATTTTTAAAATAATAAGTAATCTACTTTCAAATTAGTTTTATGAATTAAAAAACACAACAAAATAATTTTGTCATTGTAAACTTTCACTTTTCAGTATGTTAATTATGTGATCCTGAATGAAAAGTGCATTGAACTTAAATGTTTTCATTGATAAATGATTTAAAGCTCATTTGGATTTATATCAATGGTTCTCACTATCTGGGACATTACTTAACCAGATCATTAATTATTCCTAAGATTAATGTAAGATTTCTAGCCAAAATCAATAAAATATTTTACTTTAAAGGATTTGAAGCACATAAAAAGTATGCATCATCATAAGAAAAGTACAACTTACTTTTTTCTTAACGCATGGGGTTATATTTTAATTGAGAACCAGTGATGCTATTTGCAGGTATGCCTTTTACTTGCCACCTGTTTCATGTATTATTTAATGTCCTATCTGGCCATACACAACTACAGGTTTACTAGTGTTGAAGACACCAACTGGTTCACTAAGACAATGTCAAGGGTCATCAATGAGGAGTGTGGTGAAGCCATTGCCACTCACCTTGACAGAAATGATGTTTTTGTTGACTTTTTGAGGTAGTTTTCAGGAGATGAACCAACCAGGCCTGCACCTGTTGTTATGTGTGGCACATTTTTTGGCTTTTAACCTTTGCCTTGTGTGCTGTTGTTTTTTCCTCAAATTCTGGGAAAATAATAAAAATGAAATTGTAATTGTTCCAACAAAGAAACACAGGCCTAAACACTTTTGATTTTTGTGTTTTTTTAAGGAGTCATTTTAAGCTACTACAGTTTACAATTATCATTTTCCCAGAAAAAATCTTCACTAATTTAATTCCAAAATAATTAGTTTGTTCACCCTAGACGTACAGCGGATTAATACCCTCGAGGACACTTATGGTGCTTCATATCTCATTGTTTGCTTGTATTTTTATTTGAAGTTACCTTCCTTTACCTAGTCCTAACAATTTGTGCTTGTTTTTTGGGAGTTTTGCATTAACAGAAAATTGTTTCAGTGCAATAATTATTAGATGTGAATTAGTTTGTTAGGTTTTAACATTGTTAGAAACTATGAGGTAAGGATTCCACTAATAAATACCATGTACAGTTTAAGTTATAAATATAAAAATCAGATTGTTGTTTGTTACTTGGATTTATAAATTTAGGATCTTAAAGATAACTCCATAAAATTAATAGCCAGTATCCTAGTGGTTACAAAGACAGTAAAATAGATTTTAACAAGGCCTTACATATTCATATCATTTTTCTAAAAACAATTGAAATGGAATTTTAAAAAAAGGTTATGATTTTATCTCCAACATCTACTTTATGAAGACTAGTCCATAGATCAAGTTTGGAGTATTCCGTTTAGGCTAATAAAATAAAAGATTCCATTAAAGGCTTTTGTTGCACAAATAAAAATAAATTATCGTGTGATCCAAATGTCCCATTATTAGCTATCCAAGCCATTTTGTGTGTTTACCTAGATGTGAATGACATTGTAGTTAGTACTGTCTGACCCACCAACCGGTTTAGCACTGTCTGACCCACCAACCGGCTTATCACTGTCTGACCCACCAGCAGGTTTAGTACTGTCTGACCCACCAATAGGTTTATTACTTACTGACCCACCAGCAGGTTTAGTACTGTCTGACTCACCAACAGGTTTAGTACTGTCCGACTCACAAAAAGCTTTAGCAACTGTCTGACTCACCAACAGGTTTAGTACTGTCCGACTCAAAAAAAGGTTTAATACTGTCTGACTCACCAACAGGTTTAGTACTGTCCGACTCAAAAAAAGGTTTAATACTGTCTGACTCACCAACAGGTTTAGTACTGTCCGACTCACAAAAAGGTTTTGTACTGTCTGACTCACCAACAGGTTGGCTAAATCCACAGCTGAAGATTGACAACACAAGATTTGATATTTTTTTTTGTTTCCTCCTAACCTCAATCCTACATTTGGTTTGCTTTTTAATCTTTGTGCATGTTAACCCCTAAACTCACCTGCTTGTTGTTACACGAAATTAAACAGATTTGTAAAAGTTGATGACCTGACCTGGTTTGAAAAAACGGTTAAGCGGATAGTAACAGAGGAAATAAGTGAAGAAGCTGGAGAGCTTGTGATGGAAAATTTCTATTTCACCGACTTCATGAGGTGGGCATCATCTTTTAAAACCATCATTTGACAATCGGGAAAACTTTTAAAATTAAAGAAAATGGTCGTCAAGGAAATGGTTAAAGATTCTATGTGAAAAGTTTGAGGCAGGGTGCTGCACTTGTAGGGCATACAATATCTACAGCAACACAAATTTGAATTTTTTGTCAGCAACACAGTTAAGTCATTCACCTTCAGCCTTTCCATTTTGTAACTAAAAAATCACTAACAATTTTAAATAAGAATGAATAAAAACCACCAGATACTTGTGCATGACTTCATATTATTCCCATTTCCCAGTTTAGCATTTTTGGTATAGAGGTTCCAACATAAAAAGGCCTTTTTGTTTTCTATTTAATACCAGATTTATAAAGAAATTTACATTTTTATAAATGATTTGCTAAGACGTAATTAAGTGACATTGGTCCAGTTTTTGCTTAATTTTAAATGCCAGTGTTTGATAACCTTCACCTTCCCAATCACACAATTGAAGAAGTAAGTACATAGACATTCTGTTATCTTGTGTGGTTTCTATCTAGAAGTGTGAAAATTAGTTGTAGTCAGATGCACAGTTTAGAGATTCATTTTTAACAAAAAATTGATCTCTTAATAGCAGACTTGGAAAAATAAAATGACATGTTCAATTATGTTTTTACATAGTTTTAAGTTAGTTACATGGATTGAAGATTTTAGCTTTAACTTAACTATATAAATTTTAGATTTATTATTTAGCTCATGTGAGCTGAAACTAAGAAGAAATTAAATTCTAAGTTAACATTTGTTGTTATATTCCACCACTGATTAATGAGATGACCATTTAAAGACTTTAAAATGTAACAGACATGCGTCAAGTTAATTTTCATGTTCTTCAATCGATATATTCTAAAAATAGATTGTATTTTTGTCTGTTTGTTTCTCTCAGAGATGCTCCAGAGGCCACTGGTGATGAACCAGAAGATGCTGACTTTGATATGCCCAAAATCTATGAGCCTGTGAGTCACCCACTGCACCTTTTTTTTTGTTTAAAGAGAGTCATTGTATACTAGTCTGAGAAAAAAAAATGGCTTATTTACTTTTAGTGGCTTTGTAAAAATGTATAAATGTTTATGCTTAAATAATGGATTACATTTCAAGTTATTGTATTGGAGATTAATTATTATTATATTTTTAATGAGCTATTTCGTAAAAGGGTTTCATTGAAGAAGCTTGTGTCATGTCTGTAATAAATAGTGTAAGTAAATAGGTTTAACTAAGACTCAAATTTCTCACAGGTGGAAAACTTCCACCAACTGGAAGAGAGACTTTCCTACTTCCTACAACAGTACAATGACAGCATCCGAGGAGCTGGCATGGATTTGGTCTTCTTCCGTGATGCCATGACCCACTTGGTCAAAGTCTCTCGCATCATTAGGACCCCCAGGGGTCATGCCCTCCTGGTGGGTGTCGGTGGGTCTGGTAAGCAGTCTCTGACCAGACTGGCCTCCTTCATAGCTGGTTACAAGACATTCCAGATAACTCTTACAAGGTTGGTGTAGGAATATCTCTTCTTGTTGATCCTCTGCTCACCATTAATTTCAAGTTAAAATTCATTTGCTAAACCTTATTCAATCACTGCTCATGTCGATATGTTATCTTCAGATCCTACAATGTGTCCAACCTTCTGGAAGATCTGAAGTCCTTGTACAGAACATCTGGCCAGCAAGGCAAGGGCATAACATTCATATTTACTGACCAGGAAATCAAAGACGAGGGCTTCCTTGAGTACCTCAATAACATGCTGTCCTCTGGTGTGGTAAGTAGCCTAACCTTTTTGTTTTTCTGTAAAGGTGAAAGATACTCAAAAAGAGGCAGACCGAATTTTGGTTTCGCAGCTGAAAGTTGTCATTTGATAATTTTTTGGTATAGTTTCAGCCAAAACAGAAAAGTTAACTTTCGGTTTATTTCGGTTTTGAACATCTGTGATGGAGGCTTTCGGCGGTCTACCAACCAGAAGTCAGACTGACACTCGATCTGCCTGTTGGCTGGCAATCCAGTATTCATTATTTCTGGACAACTTGCTGTCATTGTTTTATATTTATCATTAATCCTCTGCTTACACTGCTCACAGCTTCAGCATGACCCACTTGTTAAATATTTCCAAAAAGAAAATTACAATTAGGCTTAGGCAAAGATAAATAGTTTTGTGGAAACAAAAACTGTAGGTATAGTAATATTTATATTTTTATTTTTGTTTTAATTTTTTCAATAATGAAAGTTGGCAACGCTAGGTTTATTCAATTCATTCATTTGTGACATTCCTTTTGATTTATCATTATCATGCTCATAAATGTTGTCGTTGGCAAAGGTGAATAGTGTTGTGAAAAAGAAAAAAAAAATCCTCGGAAGTGGTAACATTTCCATTATTTTGTTTTAAATTTAAAAAAAATAAAATTAGGGAACCTAAGGCTTATTTAATTCATTCATTTATTGAAATTCACTATTATCATGCTGATCAACATTGTCTTTGACGAAATAAAAGTGTTCAACAAAATTAGTCATGTGTATGGACACAAAATGTAAAGGAAGAGAATAATGCAACCTTTATTTATATTTAAAAATATAAATATTTATTTTAATTTTGTATAATTAGGCATAAAATAGCCTTTAATTTAAATCATAAGCCTACACACACTTGTGCATGTATTACTATTTCATATAATAATTAAGTAGTGAACCTACAGTATTATCATACTAAACGTAGCTCTACATTTTTTTAACGTTTATTTTATCTGGGTCAAATCTAAAATTAGCCGATAAATGATAATTGCAGATAAATAAAAAATTTAAATGTTGACCAATAGGAACATGTTTTTTCAACAAAAATGTATGGGTTAGTAGAGCAAAGAGGTCCTTCTGGAAATTTATGTGGGCTGTACCAATAAACAATACATCGGCTAAGCTTTCGATTGATACCAAATATGTCAGGGTAGCATTGTAATTATATTATAAAAGTCTCATCAAATTTTGGATTTTTTTTGTTGAAAATCCCATTCATTTAGTCTCTAACTCAAAACAAGAAGAAACACAATTATAATAAATTACTAATTAAATGTATTTTGAATCACTGAGCAATGTTAACTAAATCTGAGCAGAATATTTTGAATCTAAATTATTTCAACGAATAATTTCTATTAGAGCATTACTTAAGTTTTTGCTCACTATTTCCTGGCAGGTGTCTAACTTGTTTGCCAGGGATGAAATGGATGAAATTCTGGGTGAACTGGTGGCTGTCATGAAGAAAGAGTTCCCCAAACGCCCACCCAGCAATGAGAATCTGTATGAGTACTACCTTACCAGAGTCAGAGCCAACCTTCATGTGTCACTCTGCTTCTCACCTGTAAGTCTAGCTGTGGTAGTAAGGGATAGTCAACAAGCAGTAACTGGTAGTATACAATTTTTTGGTAGTATGGCAGTAAGTGAAAGTCTAGCTCAGGGGTGGGCAACCATTTTGTGCAGAAAACTGTGGGGGAATTGTTTTTTTGTTTTTTTAAGCCACGTAATAATTATCTAGTAATCTAGAGTTTACCCCGAGTTTTGTTCAGATATAAGCAGTGGATAAGTTGAATGATTTTTACATTTGGTGTGATTATTATTATTACATTTTGACAAATTTACACTGTCATTATTAATTTTCAAAGACTTTTTAAAGATAATCCTTTACAATTTGTAAATTTTACCAAAAAAATTGATCCAGTTCCCAAAGGAATTGCAGGCCAAATTCAAAATTTCAAGGGGCCGTTTGTGGGCCATAGGTTGTCCACCCCTGGTCTAGCAGTAGGTGGTACTCTTAATGTGATTAAAGTCCCTTTTAAAAAAACCTATCTCTTTTAAAGTGAAAGCATCAAGTTAATGTAATGATCTGATCTGGTGATCATATAGTTTTAACATTTACGTTTTTCCCCCAATGACCAGGTTGGGGAGAAGTTCCGTCAAAGGGCCCTCAAATTCCCAGGTCTCATTTCTGGATGCACAATGGACTGGTTCCAAAGATGGCCAAAGGATGCCCTCATCGCCGTGGCTGACCACTTCTTGAGGGACTTTGACATTGTCTGCACAGAGGAAGTGAAGAAACAAGTTATCCATACCATGGGTATCATCCATGATGGAGTTGCTGAGAGCTGCATTGATTACTTCCAGAGGTTTGTTATTATTTTTATGGTTGTCAGCGACTGTATTACAAAAGTTTTTTACTTAGTCTTACTAATTATTTAGTCAGCACAGTAGGTTAAAACTATTTCTTAGCTCATTTAAAAACACTGTTTGCTGCAAGACCTTTTAAAATGATTTGCTATGATTAGATCATGTTGTATCATTATTATTTTAAAAATTGGAATAATCATTGAGTAACGATTGATGTAAATGAAAGAAACTAAAGGTGGACATTGGTTGTTTCAGATATCGTCGTTCCACTCATGTCACCCCCAAGTCTTACCTGTCATTTATTAATGGGTACAAGACCGTGTACAAGGACAAGAGAAATATGATTGGGGAGATGGCCAATAGGATGAACACAGGTGTGTGGCTATATTTTTAAAAAAAATGAATTACCCAACTTACTAAAGGATACTTTTAGTGGTGAACAGATAAAATGAATATGTACCTTTAAAATATTTTTTTCAAAGACAATGCTGCTCACTGTTCATTCCTGATTTCTACTTTTAGGTTTAGAAAAACTGGTTGAAGCGTCTCTGGCAGTGGCCGAACTGAGCAAAGAATTGGCTGTGAAAGAAAAAGAGCTGGCCATAGCATCAGAGAAAGCTGAAGCTGTACTGAAGCAAGTCACCATTCAGGTAACATTTCTGTCTGACTGTAAAAAAAACCCCAGGGAAATGAGATCTAGTAAATTTGTTGCCTTCATTAAAATTCTTTATGTAAACAATGGCCAAAAACAATTGATTCAAATGTGTATATAGAATTTAAATATACTGGAACTAAGGAAGTGTAGTTATGAAAATAATAGATGTTGTATTGTTAGAATACTTATTGCTTTATTTAAAAGTGGGTCAGTCAATAAAACTGAAAAATACATTTTGTTTCAAAGAGTAGCAAAAAACTTTTCAATGTTCCAGTTATTATTTTTATTTGATTTCAGCTTTTGATTTCAACTTTGCCCTTGACCTAATTTTACCATTTATTTTGTTATTAATTTTATAAATATTTGTTATACTTTCCTTCTCACATTGATGGCTTCATACTTGTAATCTCCTTAGGCTCAAGCTGCTGAGAAGGTCAAGAACCAGGTTCAGAAGGTCAAGGACAAAGCTCAGACCATTGTGGACAGCATTGCCACAGACAAAGCTATTGCAATGGAAAAGCTGGAGGCGGCAAGGCCAGCACTGGAAGAGGCTGAGGCTGCCCTCAACACCATCAAACCCGCGCACATTGCTACGGTCAGAAGGCTGGGGAAACCCCCACATCTCATCATGAGGATCATGGACTGCGTCCTCATTCTCTTTAGGTTTGTACCTGACTAAAACACGGTTTATTATTTGACAGGTCAAAGTATTTGAACACTGTTGAACATCTATCTACTATGTCAAGTTTATGTTATTTATAGCGTACATTTTTCATTAAGTCCTGCTTGTGTTGACAAGTCACTCGTTTTATTCAAAAGAAATATGCACCGCAATTGAATACATCACTAATGAATCTGTCACATTTCATTACAGCACCTATTTATCAACATCTTTAGGTGCTCCTTGTGGAGCATAGCTCACCAATGATCTCACTCCATTTTGCTCTCTCAAAATCTTTTCTCTGTGTGTTCTCATTGATTTAGACCATACAGTTTTGTCCATGTTTTCTATATTTCAATATGGCAACTTGAATATTGTGTTTAATTCCTTGCTTTTCTTGATTTCTGAACATCAACAGGAGTAAACTAAACCCTGTAACTACGGATCCAGAAAAGCCTGAGTTTGTCAAACCATCATGGAACCACTCACTCAAGGTAAGACTAAGTACTAAAAGTGTCAAATGTGGTTATCTCACTTTGTTGTTGTTGTTTGTCCTTTGCATGCGAAGATGACCAAGGTTATATTCCACGGAGATTCGTAGGTATCCTGCCAGTCTGTTTTGTGCCTGGAAAGCTTTCCCGCACGTGGGACACACATTGTTCTGGGTCCTAGTTGGGATTGAGTCGATTCTGTTTTTCCTTGCCGTGCGCTTTCTTTTGGCGTAAGCGTGCACTTATTCTTTGAGGATTGTGCTCTGGCAGTGATTCTACCATGCCTGCTTAAATGGTCCTTACCAAATGTCTCCTAGGAATCAAGGTCAATGTCCATGGATTTGAGTGATGCTTTTAGACGGTCCTTGAAGCATTTATTTCTGCCCACCAGCTGAGCGTTTCCCACTGGTGAATTCACTGAACATTAATCGTTTGGGAAGTCTGCTGTCTGGCATTATTGCAACATGTCCAGCCCATCTGGCCTGTCCTTTTTATAGTGGGTGCTGGTAAAATCAGCCCATTTTAGGACCTCTGTATCAGGGACTCTGTTCTTCCACCTTAAGCCTAGAACTGTACGTAGGCAACTTAGCTGGAGATGGTTTAGCTGACAAGCATGTCTGCTGTACACTGTCCATGTCTCAAGAGCATATAGGAGAAATGTTATGATGATTGCCCTATATGCTTCCAGCATATTGACAAGACTGAGACCCCTTTGCTTCCAAAAACTCTTGTGAAGCTTTCCAAATTCAACATATGCTTTGGAAATCCAGTTATTGATTTTCTCATCATTTACTGCTACTGACCTGGAGAGGGTGCTGTCCAAATATAAATTATTCTCCTGCTTGGAGATTCTGTCCCTTCCCTAATAGTTTAGGTTTTTTGTAAGCTTTTCCTGGAGCTGGCTGGTGTAAGATCTCTGGTTTTTTCATATTGATGGCGAGGCCATTGTCTTAGTTGTCACAGGCCTTAGCAAATTGATCAAGTAAGGGCTTGCATTTAAGGGACAGTCATGAGCAAACAAGAAATCTCGAATAACCATTTCTTTAACTGTCAGTATCTCAGTAAACATTCATTCAACACACATAGAAATTGTAAGTCTAATTTTCATCAAGTTCATGTCTCAGCTTGAGCAGATGCTAAATCTGTGTCTTCACGTTCTGACCACACAATGAATGAATGAGTTACCATATGCCTTAAATACAGACCATTTTTTGTGTACAGCAAAAACTCAGAAAAACACTTACAAGACTGAAAACAATCAGCACAATGTAATAAAAAAATATTTATATTTATTTGGATCAATAAAAACAATTTATTTTATCTTATCTGACCAAAACATAGCCACATCATGTGACCAATACGTATCTATGATTTGACCAGTATCTACTTATGATTTGAACACAACAGGGCAAAATCTTTTACATTTCCCTACTCCTTGTCTGATTCCAGCTGATGGCCGACACGAATTTCCTGAAGAACTTGGTGGAGTATGACAAAGACAAGATAAATGACGAGATGTGTGAACACATGGAGCCTTACCTGGCATCTGAAGACTACACACTGGACATTGCCAAGAACGTCTGTGGTGATGTGGCCGGACTGCTGTCTTGGACCAAATCTATGTACGTCTTCTACTTCATCAACAAGGAAGTCCTACCACTCAAGGTCAGTGATGTTAATATCATATAGAGTCTCATAGAGAAAAGTAATCAATCTAGATTCACTTTTTTTGTACTCACTTCAATATTTAGTTGGCAAAAAATAGTCACTATTTGAGTTTTCTTCCTCTCTCGCTAAACAAAATTTTTTGTGATTTTAATTTAATTCGATTTTTAAACAACAAATACCCCGCAGCTCTTGAAATACTTTGTGTGTGAAAAGGGAAAAAAAAACCAGGGAACCACTTACCTTAAACGTTAAATATGTTTTCAATTATTAAGAGTCAATAATTTTTTTTCTTTTAAGATTCTGTAAATACTGCTTTTAAGATCACAACCAATGGATCTTAACAGAATTCTAATAAGTTATGTTATAACTCATTCCTGACTTTACTCAATCCCACAAGATTAAACTGTAAATCTAAATCAGATTTGACTTTTTTAATCAACCAGGCCAATCTGGCAGTACAAGAAGGTCGTCTGAAGGGTGCCATGACAGATTTGGAGACAGCTCAGGCACAGCTGGATGCCAAGGAGGCAGAGCTGAGAGCCGTCCAGGCAGAGTATGACAAGGCCATGGCAGAGAAGCAAACCCTGATGGATGATGCTGAGACTTGCAGACGTAAGATGTCTGCTGCGTCTGCCCTCATCAATGGCCTGGGAAGTGAGAAGGAGAGGTGGACAGAGCAAAGCAAAGAGTTCAAAGCCCAGATTGGAAGGTGAGTTGTCACAGAATTAGGTGGTCACATTAAGTATTCTGCTAACAGGTTGGGTCACTTCAGCTCATGATTTACTTAAAGTGGTTTTGGAACATGTTAGTACTAGTCCTGTACAGCCATCTCTATACTGTTCATGATACCATCATCATCAGTCATGGGGGGGGGGGGCAAAAAATTTTTTAACTTTACCGGGGGGGGGGCAAATTTTTAATATAGTTTTAATTTACTGTAGCGTATTTGTATGGTGAACGAACGGACAGGACATCAGCTTAGTTACTTTCTCTTTATTTTCTCTTTACTTTAATACATTTTTTGTCTATTTTTGTCTAAAATTTTTTATCCAATCAATCCAGGGGGGGGGGCAAGTGCCCCCCTTGCCACCCCCTGTGGGCGCCCATGTCATCAGTGGCGCTACAGCATCCTTCCATTCGTATGAATCCATGGCCTTCCACCTCCATGCGTTGACCCCAAGCTGATGCAAGTCCTTCTTTGCATCATCTATCCAACTCAGTCTTGGTCGACCTATGAGCTGTCTACCCCTAGGTTTCTGCCTGTAGATAACATTATCTTCTCTGCAATCTGGCATCCTCTTGGCCAGCGTAGTCTGCCTTTTTTAATTGTTGGGACCATGGGTGGGTCTACCATAGGTGGGTCTACCATGGGTGGGTCTACCATGGGTGGGTCTACCATGGGTGGGTCTTCAAACGATTGATAAATCTCTGGGTTTATATGAATCTGCATCCATCAATTTTTATTGTTGGACCGTATATTTGTGACCGCTGCTCATGATAGAAAAAAATTAATTACAAGATCTTAGCTTGAAATGAGACACAACCGAACTACAAATGTGAACTACTAGTAACAAAATTAAAGTGTCAACCTGTGAAATCCATTGGCACTCTAAGCTAATACATATATTGTTTTCTTTTGTCTCATTTCTTAGACAAAATTTATAATTTATTTATACTTTTTAAGCTTGATTGCTATTGCTAAACTTTGTTGGAATAGTATTGCAGTTATGAAATGGCTTTACCATTTGTCGCTTTATGTCTGGTTTTGTAAGTGAATCATTAAGTGTTTTTCCTTACTGTTTAGTAAGTTTAGAGAACCTGCTTGGCTTGCATGTATCCTTGGCTGATGTCTTCATGTCTGTAAAGATTTATTTTGTCCTCGTAGGTTGGTAGGAGATATCCTCATGTGTACGGCATTCTTGTCCTACTCTGGTCCGTTCAACCAGGACTTCCGTAGTCTGCTCAACAAGAACTGGATGAAAGAGTTGAAATCTCGCAAAATTCCATTTTCTGCAAACCTCAACATCGTAGAACTGCTTATTGATCCCACTCAGGTATGTGCTCACCTGATAATTATGAAATATTTTCAAATAACTAATAGCTGCATTTCTTTTCTATAATGATTTTTGTGTGTCTATTTTATATTTTTTATATTTTCAATTATTTTCAGATTGCAGAATGGAACATTCAAGGTTTGCCTAATGATGAGCTCTCGACCCAAAATGGAATCATCGTCACCCAGGCATCTCGCTATCCTCTCCTCATTGACCCTCAGGGACAAGGCAAAAGCTGGATCAAGAAAAAGGAAGAAAAGCATGAGCTGCAGGTGTTTATTAGTGAAAGCAAAATCAAAATCTTTAGTCAGTTTTGAGAAGAAACAAAATGCATCAATTTTTTTAGGCAAGATTTTAAATAAATGGTTATGAGTATTTAGCATTTTGATTCTGTAAATCACTGAATTATAAGAGAAGTGCTTTCTGTTTTAGGTGACTTCATTAAATCACAAATACTTCCGTCAACATTTGGAAGACTCCATGTCGCTGGGACGTCCACTCATGATTGAAGACATTGGAGAAGAACTTGACCCTGCCCTGGACAATGTCCTGGAGAAGAACTTTATCAAGGTTTGATTTGAATTATTTTAAACTCACATATCTGTGTTACAACTGAATATGGCCAGTTAACGGCTTTTTCAAATCCATACATTACTTGGTATCAGTAAACTTTTTTGTTTAGCCTCACAAATTATCTTTGTATTGCCAGGTGGGTTCCATGCTCAAGGTCAAGGTAGGAGACAAAGAGTGTGACATCATGAAAGGCTTCACACTATACATCACCACCAAGATGCCCAACCCCTCGTACACACCAGAAATATCGGCCCGAACTTCCATCATCGATTTCACCGTCACCATGAAAGGCCTGGAAGACCAGCTTCTAGGTCGCGTCATCCTCACAGAGAAGGCCGTAAGTGTTATTTTTTAATGTTTTAACATTTATCATTTTACAAAGCCCATCTGGGGGCCATAATAGTGTGTAGTTAATGTAGCTTTTATGGACATCTCATAGATTCAAACACATTACCTATCAGTGTCACTATGGCTTGGCATGGGTCCAAAGTCAGGCCAGATGCTTTTGTCTATCTTACCCAAAAGTTAAAAAGGATGTAACATTTTTAAAGTATTTAAATGTCAATGTTGGCTTAAGTGTACCACATCTAACCCATTGTTCCATACCACATCTAACCCATTGTTCCATACCACATCTAACCCATTGTTCCATACCACATCTAACCCATTGTTCCATACCACATCTAACCCATTGTTTCATACCACATCTAACCCATTGTTCCATACCACATCTAACCCATTGTTCCATACCACATCTAACTCATTTTTCCATTTACACAAATCCCCTGCCTAAACCTTCTCACTGAACATGTTGCCTATGCCAGGAGCTGGAGAGTGAACGTTTAAAGCTGATGGAGGAGGTCACGGCCAACAAGAAGAAAATGAAGGACCTGGAGGACAGTCTGTTACTCAGACTGACCACAACAAAGGTAACAGGACAGACATTGCTCACTGGCCAAAGAAGACTCAATAACGGTCTGGCGAAGTGAAGGATGTCTTCAAAATTTTTCAAAGTCTTAAAATATTTATATTAAAATAACACTGCAAAATATTAAATTATTGAGACACAAACAGTTTATGTAAATAAAACAATATAGGTTTAACGTTAACCCTTTGAACCCGCGATTCCTCTTTATTGGTCTGCGCCTTAGAAATCCCCCCCCCCCCCCCCCCCCCCCCCCCGAGAAATAGTTCGATCTCCCATACCTTACCATAGATCGACAGTCCGTATATAAAATGCGTTGTAAATACTGAGTTTAGAGTTTACCACGTGACTTGCGAAAGGTCACAGTCATGACTGCGCCCATGAATGCATTGATTTTGTTATGTTTTAGTAATGTTTTTCTATGTGTAAGGGTGACGAAAATACAAAATTTGCTATTCTCAAGGACTCAAACTAGAGTAGTTTTATGATAATGTAAATAATTCAAAGGATTATTATTGCGTTTTGAAAAGGGATTGAAATTAAGCAAAAGACAATGATAGTGACGATCGATTGACTTCAACTTCTAGTGCTATCGATGTGTGCTTTGGGAATAAAAGAAACAACACAAGGTCCACCCCTAGTCCTAGCCTTGGTTTTAATGAAAAATCAGTCGTAGAAATGAAATCTTACTATGATATTTTACAACATAATTTCTAAAACAATTATCTCTGTGATACATTTTATAATACTTATGGACTACTAATGGACAAATTTCACCGCGGCCCATTTGGACACCCTATATTGTCTTTTTTCTTCCCCTTTTTCTATATATTTTTATTTGGCAAGTTTATAATAGTTATAATCCTCAAGACCTGAATTCTTTTAGTGTATATTAGTAAAACTGTCAGCCTCGTTCATCACCACCACGAACACCCACCTTGCTACATATCATTGTATGAACGTTTGTTTTTTGTTGTACTGATGAAGGCATTTGCATTCGAAATGTTTGCATTTGTATTTTGAGTAACTATTTTTGAAGCTTAACTTATATTGTTCTATTTACACAACTTGTTTGTGTCTCTCTTCTTTTTACTTGAAAGCTTTATTGCAGAACAACACTTATAGTTATTTTGCCAAATATTAACATGATAATTGATTTTTTTTAGTGAGGTTCCAGTATTACAAGCCTAAACATACCCTGCTCCATTATTTATTACAGTATTACAAGACTAAACATATTTTGTTTCATGAAAATTCATTCAATAAACAGAGTATACTCTATGAAAATGATATCATAATTTTTTTATCACTAAAATGTAAAGGAGTTGTTTATGACTTAATCAGATCCAGTTATGACTTAGTGAGATCCAGTTATGACTTAGTGAGATCCAGTTATGACTAAGTGAGATCCAGTTATGACTTAGTGAGATCCAGTTATGACTTAGTGAGATCCAGTTATGACTAAGTGAGATCCAGTTATGACTAAGTGAGATCCAGTTATGACTTAGTGAGATCCAGTTATGACTAAGTGAGATCCAGTTATGACTTTCTTGTTAACTATTCTTTTATCTGTGTCTAGGGATCACTAGTAGATGATGAAGATCTCATCAACGTGCTGCATGTCACAAAGGCCACATCCCTGGATGTCACTCAGAAACTGGACATTGCTGCAGACACAGAGATAAAAATAAACTCTGCTAGAGAAGAGTTCCGACCAGTGGCCACAAGAGGCTCCATTTTGTACTTCCTTATAACAGAGATGAGTTTGGTCAACGTCATGTACCAGACCTCTCTCAGACAGTTCCTGCAGCTCTTTGACCTCTCCATGGCCAGGTAGGTCACAGCTATTATTTGATCTCTCTGTGGCCAGATAGGTCACAGCTATTATTTGATCTCTCTATGGCCAGGTAAGTCGCAGCTATTATTTGATCTCTCTGTGGCCAGGTAGGTCACAGCTATTATTTGATCTCTCTGTGGCCAGGTAGTTTTCAGCTATTATTTGATTCTTCTATGGCCAGGTAGGTCACAGCTATTATTTGATTTCTCTGTGGCCAGGTAAATCACAGCTATCCTTTAATCTCTATATGGCCAGGTAGGCCACAGCGATTATTTGATCTCTAGGTGGCCAGGTAAGTCACAGCTATCATTTAATCTCTATATGGCCAGGTAGGTCACAGCTATTATTGGATCTCTTGAATAAAATAAAATTCAAGCTGATGTTAAATATTCACCAACCAAAAAAATAGTAACAAAACTAATAACTGATATTTTATCCTTACTTTATCAGGTCAACTAAGTCACCAATAACGCAGAAGAGAATAATAAATATTATTGAGTACATGACCTTTGAGGTATTCAAGTATGCTGGACGTGGCCTTTATGAAAGCGACAAAATGACCTTCACCTTGCTGCTAGCCTTGAAAATTGATCTCCAGGCCATGAAGATCAAGCATGATGAGTTCATGACCCTTGTCAAAGGTAAAGGAAACAGAATAAATCAAAATATTTTGCTCTGAAATAGATAATTTCGATTAAAAATAAAATGAAAGATGGTAATGCTGGTGTGGCTAAGGAAGCTGGCAATAGTTGACTTGTGAAATGTTGAGCGCTGCGTAATAATTTGTGATTTCCACCAGGTGGAGCATCTGTCGACACATCCACAGCACCACCTAAGCCACCCCAGTGTAAGTGGGTGGCACAGATCACATGGCTGAATCTTACTGAGCTCAGCAAACTTCACCAGTTCTCAGGTATCATTGAGCAGGTAAGTGTTGAATATGCCAGGCTGATAAGCACAATGCCGGTCCATCTTCTTTAGCATCCACATGACTCATGTCATCACCAGATCTGTGCCATTACCCAGGTGACCAAGTCATTACCCTCTGACACTCATGTAATTTCTTTTGAGACCTAAGCTACTAATTTCAACAATTCATTCATCTACTATGAAAGCTACACACATCCTCACCCATTCAGTGAGCTTTCATGATTTTCTTGCCTTTGAACGTGATTAAAAAAATATTGTTGAAATAACTTCTTTCTCAGTTTCTTTAGATTTTTTTTTTGACTTTTAAACTTATTATTAAATTAAAATAGATACTAATTGGTAAGAGGGGCTAACAGATTCTCTTATATTCTCTGATTTTTTAAAGCCATGTTATTGTAATTAGATCTTGAGTACAAGTATTTCTTATTTTCTTCTTTATGTATGGTTAAAATAGAATCTAGACTTCTTCATAGTTTTTGTTGTGAATGCTTGCATTTCTATTTTTTTAAAATTTGTTCTTCAAAAATAACTCAACATTTTTCAGGTTGAGAGGAATGACAAACAGTGGAAACAGTGGTTCGAGAAGGAAGCCCCCGAGGAAGAGGTCATCCCCGATGGGTACAACAATTCTCTGGATGTCTTCCGCAGACTTCTGCTTGTCAGGTGCTGGTGTTCTGACAGAATTCTGCCAATGGTGAGTTGTTTTTTTTTGTTGGAAAACAAGAAAGATAGTGACTCATAATTTGCTGGGGTAAGCAAAGGTCCCAAAAAAGGTCTTTTTATTTATCCTGTAAGATTGTGGGGAAAAATAATTATCTTTAGTTTGTAACATGGTAGTGCTATTCAACTAGTGGACATTTTCCTCTCCCAGGCCAAGAAGTACATTGCTGACACAATGGGAGAGAAATATTCTGAGGGAATCATTCTGGACATGGAGAAGATGTGGCAAGAGAGTACCAACAGATCGCCACTCATCTGTTTACTTTCCATGGGTTCGGATCCCACACCTTTGATTGAAGGCTTGGCTAAAAAACTCAAATTAGGTGGGTCATCTTGGCCGGGGAAATCTTTTACCTGTTCTAATTTATCTGTTTCTTGTTCTTATCAATATCTCAGTAAATTTGTTCTTTGTTTTTTTATCAATATCTCAGTAAATTGTTCTGTGTTCTTATCAATATCTCAGTAAATTGTTCTGTGTTCTTATCAATATCTCAGTAAGTTGTTCTTTGTTCCTATCAAAAGTCCTTTCCACTTGTAGTTGGTATTTCTAAAGCTCTTTTAAAATGCTCCATATTTACACTCTTTATAATTGACCAGAATGCAGAGCCATATCTATGGGTCAAGGTCAAGAAGTACATGCCAGACGCCTGCTTCAGCAAGGTATCACATCTGGTGGATGGCTCTTGCTACAAAACTGTCATCTCAGTCTGGATTATGTCAATGAAGTCAGTATCATTAGTGTCATATTTAGCTTAGTGTTGTTTTGTCTTACTGGTTGAAAATTATGTGCATATTTTATAACACTGTGCATATTTCTGGATTTCTCTGTTGATTGGTTAATCCAGAGGTTCCTAAACTGTGCGCCACAATGGTCTGGCGAGTCATGACCTCCGCAAGAAGCTATTAACAATTATTAAAAATTTTCTTTTTTGAATTGCATTTGTTTGACTTTGGCTTAGGGTGCCCCAGGAAAAGACTTATATGCAGCGAGTGTGCCATGAATAAAAGGTCTTGGAACATCTGGGTTAATCAATAATTAGTCCACCATAAATAATATTTTTTTAATCAAGTAGAAAATATTTTTTGATAGACTTAATTTTTTTGTCGTTGTTCAAATAATGTATTTTCTAAATAAATAAAGGATTATAGTTTGTTTAATTTAAATCATAAAATTAAAACAAACAAGAAAATGTAACTCTATACCAGAATCAACTGGCAGTGCATACTTCTAGAGCTTACTCATTGAGAGATCACTCCTATAAATTTAGTATGCTGAAAGCCCGTTCATGCGATTGAAAGACACATTGTAAAGATCTTCAAATGTCTTCGTCTAGGTTCTAGATGCCATTGTGGAGACTGAGACCATCCATGAAGAATTCAGACTGTGGGTCACTACTGAGGTTCATCCCAAGTTTTCCATCAACTTTCTACAGGTATTCCAATGATACATTCATTTATAACTTAAGCCACTGAGATGGTGTGTAGGTGGCATACATGGTCTTGCTCATACAGTGGAAGAAATCCTTTAAAACTGCATTGGTTTCCTAGGGTGATGCCTGGGTGATATGAATTTAAAATTCCTAATAATACATCTTTCCATAAATAAAATGATCAACACTAATAATGCATTGCCCTGTTATACTTGTTATGTGAGTGTTCAAGGTAATGAATGCATTTTTGTATTTGACTTCAGATCTCCATTAAGTTCACCAATGAGCCACCCCAAGGTGTCAGAGCTGGTCTCAAGAGGACCTATGCTGGCATCACTCAAGACTTCCTGGACATCTCTAACATGCCACAGTGGAAGCCAATGCTGTATGGTGTGGCCTTCCTTCACACTGTGGTGCAAGAGAGGAGAAAGTTTGGCCCTCTGGGCTGGAATATCCCCTATGAGTTCAATACATCAGATCTTAATGCCAGCATTCAGTTTGTGCAGAACCACCTGGATGATATGGATCCTAAGAGAGTGAGTTGAACAGAATGTAATTCTCATGGATTTCAAATAAATTGTAATTTTTTTAGATTTAAACTTTCATTCAGTTGTTTATTAGTTGGGGGGGAAAATTATTATAATAATTATTATTATTTAATTTTTTTGGGGTTGGGGAGGAGGGCAGTTGGGGCCATTGCCCTTGTTTTTCTTTTTATTATTATTTTTTTTTAAATTGTATGTGTCATTGTGTCTTAATTTTCTGTACTTACCTCATTTACTAATTAAATATTGCAGAATATTCTATTTTTTCAAAGAAAGGAATTTTGAAATGAAAACAATTTAGAATATAGAGCTCCACAAACTTTTACAAATTTATTTTTTCATTTGATTGTTGATGTTAAATAGTTTGAAGAAGTTGGAGTAAAAATTGATGTTTGTTACAAATTTCAGTTCAGTTACAGTTATTTTTCAATAGATTAATTTTTTTTTTTTACTTCTCAAATATTTCAATCTACCAAATATATCCATTTCTTAGGTTATCCAATAAAAAAGTAAATAATTGAAATATGCTGAAAGTTATTATATAAAGAAGGGGTAAAATTATTTACAATAACTTTTTTCTAATGCTGACCCTCAGGGGGTCAACTGGATCTGTGTGCGCTACATGTTTGGAGAGATCCAGTACGGAGGTCGTGTCACTGACGACTATGACAAGCGACTTCTCAACACGTTCTGTCGAATCTGGTTTGGTGAAAACATGTTCCAGCCAAACTTTGTCTTCTACAAGGGCTACAACATCCCCAAATGTACCAAAATACACGAGTTCCATGAATACATCAACAACCTGCCATCCACTGACCCCCCTGAGGTGTTTGGCCTTCATGCTAATGCAGACATCACGTGAGTGATTGCAGAATATTGTCTATTAGTATTAGCTGAATCATCAAAGGGTTAATTTATATCTGATATTTTGTTTGCAGAAGTGAAAAACTTCACTAATAGTAGAAATAGTCCCTATTTCTATGACATTTTCTTTAATTTCTTTTAATTAAAAGTAATGCTTTCCGTTAATTTTTATATTGTAAGTCAGAACCTTATGTTTGACATGAATAAATTCAGAGTCTGTAAAATTATAGACACTAGAATTAAACTTTTCTTACCTGGCACCAGTGCCATGAAAGTCTGTCGGTGTCCCCTTGTGAGTTTGCAAATGCTGATTGCTCATGCGTGACTGTTGTCCAGGTACCAAAATGTGACAGCCAAGTCCATCTTAGACACCATCCTAAACATCCAGCCCAAGGACAGCTCATCAAGTGGGGGTGAGACCAGGGAATCCACCGTTTACAAGTTCTGTGATGACGTCCTCAACAAACTGCCCATAGATTATGACCCGTTTGAGAAGGTGGCGTGCCTGGCAAAACTTGGCAAGCTGGAACCTTTAGTAATTTTCTTGAGACAGGTCGGTTGACAGATAACTTAAGAGATGTTGGAGGTTCAATACACATGTACAGCCTACTATTATAAACAAAAATGATTGACAAAATCGCAATTCATTGCTTATATGTAAACAATTGTATTGCAATGAATTGACTAGAGGAGGAATACCTCCTAGGCTTAAAAATATCTGTAAAAATATGGAATTATTTTTATGCATACGTTTTGAAGTGTTTCAAAATAAAAATTTGATCACATAATAAACATTTTTATAAGTATTTCTTCATTTGGCAGGAAACGTTAATAGAAGTGCTACTCAATAATTTAAAATTTTTTTATTTTAACTGCTGGTTAAGAACAATCCTTACTTGTTATGCAAGGTGTTCTTTCCATGCAATGTCCATGTTCATGTCGTTGACTAGAGGAGGAATACCTCCTAGGCTTAAAAATATCTGTAAAAATATGGAATTATTTTTATGCATACGTTTTGAAGTGTTTCAAAATAAAAATTTGATCACATAATAAACATTTTTATAAGTATTTCTTCATTTGGCAGGAAACGTTAATAGAAGTGCTACTCAATAATTTAAAATTTTTTTATTTTAACTGCTGGTTAAGAACAATCCTTACTTGTTATGCAAGGTGTTCTTTCCATGCAATGTCCATGTTCATGTCGTTGTAGGAGTTGGACAGAATGCAGACAGTCATTACAGCTGTGCGTAATACAGTCATTGACCTGAAGCTGGCCATAGATGGAACCATCATCATGAGTGAGATCCTACGAGATGCCCTCGACTCCATCTATGATGGGCGCATCCCTGCTGCATGGAAGAAGGTTTGTCGTTAGCTACATACCATCTTCTTTGAGCCATTGTTTAACATTTTGAGAGTTAATGTGACAAGATTCCTTCTTGTGTTACCTTCAAATTTGATGGTCATAACGTTCAAGTGCAGGAGGGTTCTCACTCTGTAGGAAATAATAGGCCTGTTCTTTGGTCAACAAGCAACCTGATCATAATGTTAAGTGTAGGAAGGTTCTTATTCTGTAGCAAATAATAGGCCTCTATGTTGTTCACAACAAGCAAACTTAGTACACAAAATGTTCCAGCTCCATCCTTCAGTTATAGTTATACTTTTAATCTTCATCACATCTATTATTTTTATATGATTCAAAACCCACCAAAAAGTAGAGTAAGTCTATGGTGGTTTTTTACCTGTAGCTGCCCAACAAGCTCCACCTTTAACAGTGTTTTTATCATGAGCTCATTTAGTTTACAAAATAATTTCTGGCATTGTTTGACGTTTTTATCCACTTTTCCCTGTTTCAGATCTCATGGGATTCTAGCACCATCAGCTTCTGGTTGAATGAACTTCAGGACAGAAACACTCAGTTCAGATCCTGGCTCTACAACGGTGCACCAAAATCTTTCTGGATGACCGGATTTTTTAATGCGCAAGGTTTCTTGACCGCCATGAGACAGGTTAGTTCATAACAGTTGCTTGCAGTAAAAAAGTATTACCAATTTGGAATCAATGAAAGAAAAGTTTCAAAAGTTTTATTTAAAAGTGTTTATAATGGCACTTCAGGCTAATGAATCATTGGATGCCCAGTAAAAAAAAAAGTACTTAAGTATCGCTGGCCAAAAGTAGAATCCCGGAAGTATAAGAATTCAAGCTTTGGTTTTATTTTTAGATTTTTTTGGAATGTCCTGTTTCCCTGTGTAAACTCTAAATTGACTTTTGTGTGTAGTTTTTTTGTATAAATTCTAATGGCAAAAAATGTGTATTCTCAACAGAAAGTTACCCGTAACCACAAAGGCTGGGCTTTGGACACTGTGGTACTACACAATGATGTCACCAAGTTTGAGAATGCCGAGGCAGTGACATCTGAGCCACCAGAGGGAATTTACGTCCATGGTCTCTACCTTGATGGTGCTTCATGGGACAGACGAAACAGCAAGCTTATTGAGTCTAAGCCCAAGGTGAGATTTACCTTGTCAATTGTTAGGAACTAAACAAAATTATTTCAATCTCTTTTAATAATGTTATTTAGGGCATAATATAACTGTCTCAGCACTGGCGTAAGAAGGGAGGGGGCGCGGAGAGGGCGGTACTTTTTTTTTATAAATGGATGGGCCGGTATTTTCAGCCAGCTGCAGAGTTTTTTTTGTGGAAGGGAGCGGAAAAATTCTCGCCTAGCCCCCAAGTGGCGCTAACCCTGGCTTTGCCACTGTGTCTCAGTAATGTTAGTGTATCCATTTTACAAAGTACTCTTGAAATTACCAGGCCGCCTATCATATTACAACAGTTGTACTTTAACCAATTCTTTACCGATGACGTCGATGCGACGTCACGATCACCCCCTTTCAATTACCAAGGACGTCATGTTGTCGTCCTAACAAAGAGGCAAAGAACTTTTCTGAAATACCAAGGACGTCACGCGGACGTCATATTTCAATGCTATATATTTCTTTATTCGTTAATCTATAGAAAGTTGAAAAACGAATCTGATAGAGCTCGGATAGAGGATGAAAAATACAGAAAATTCCTTATTTTAAGTTTTAATTGCTGAGTCAGCAAAAATTGATGCCAAAACGAGCGGTAATGAAGGGGTTAATATAATGAAGACACCTGGAACGCTTGTGTTGTAGAAATGTACCCAAGTTTATGATGGTCCATCAGGTTCTGTTTGAGGCAATGCCAGTGATCCACATCACAGCCGTCAGTAGCAGCGTAGGTGCACCAGATGCTAATAAGATGTACAAGTGTCCTGTTTACAAGAAGCCCAGGCGAACCGACTTGACCTACATTGCAGAGGTGGTCTTGAGAACATCCTCAACCACCCACCCTGATCACTGGATTTGTCGTGGTGTGGCTCTCCTGTGTGATGTTAAATAAGAACCCCAATCCTCACAAATGTGTCTTATTTTATTTACAGTTATACACATTTAGAATGCACAATCACTTTATGTAAATTTAACATATGAGCTAGTGAAACCTATATTTAACAGGAGTGTGTATTTTCGGGCAGCAAAATAAAAACTGAAAGATTTTATTGATACACTTATATTTTCTCTTCATTTTTTTAAAATGTTACGTTTAATGATTGAGAAAACTTTAAATGCATTAAATATTATTGTCGTACCAAGACAATATGGACATGATCTGTTATAAGATAATTATAACATTTCAGCTACAACATAAAAGTAATATAAAATTAAACGATCCCTGCTGCATATTACATTTATCCAGTTTGGTATCAAATCTCTATTTTTCATTTGCATTTATCACAGTCTCCAAAGAGTCATCACAACTATGTTTTGTATATTTACCATTTTTTTTTTGTATTAAACTGTTTGTATACTCTGTTATATTAATGTTTTAAAGCACCCTTTGTAACTTTTTCACTTTAATTATTATCAGGTTTATTATTTAATATAATGTATTTTGTAAACTCACGAGAGCCTTTTTTTTTCATATTTCATAACAACCTAAGCATATTTCCACTCTCTTGAATAACTTGACCTTCTTTTCATATTGATTTTCGCCAGTTTGTAACATTATTTCTTTTGATATATACTCAATATTATGTCATTATTATACTCTAATAATTAATCTCTATTTTAAATGCCTTATTTATAACTTCTAGTCTCTGTGCCCATTATTTATACAATCTCATTTTTACCAGCAGAGCTGTAACATATTTTTTTGGTCAAAATGCAACTCATAATGAAAATACTTTCAGAAAGTATACAATATTGTGCTTTCAAGTTATTTGAGCTTTTTATAAGGTATAAAATATTATCTTTGAGATAAATGAAATTGTTTATCACATAATTCATTGAAATAAGCATAATGTACTTGAATAAATGTAATGTATCAAGTAAGAATTCATTGAAATAAGCACCATGTACTTGAATAACCATAACTTAAAAATATTTTAAAATAATGAGACCAACAAATTGAATAGTAACCGAATTTTAAGCTTTTCCTGAAGTAATTTTTCAACTGCAATCTGTTGTCAATTTAATTGGACTGCTACTGCTATATCCAAATGCATATTAAAAAACTTAATTCAATTATATATTTAAGATTTTCATATATATTAATCATTCATCACTCAAATCTAAATGTTATGTAAAGGTGATGATATTTTTGATCATTTCTTTTTTCTTTCTAATCATTCATTTAAATATTTTCATGTTCCAATGGGTAAAAAAAAAATATTCCGTCCTCAATAGTATAACATAATAAATTTATATATGTTTAATTTAAGACAACTCAATGTATTTATAATATATATGTCAAGGTCATGACCTTGTTTATCAAAAGGGGCTATCTGTGATACAAATATCTCTCAATCTCATTCCATTTTGAACTAATTTTCATCTACAAAGTAATTTTATTTTGATCTTATCATTAAATATTTTAGATAAACTATTGTCTTCTGGTGTTCTCTGTGTGTGACTGAGAGGGATAGATTATTTTGAAATGTTTACAATGTAAAAAAGAATATGAAAAATACATCACTGTAACAAAGAACTGAGTACTACCACAGGTGCAACAACAAATTCATTTTGACAAAGTTATGTATGATAAAAAAACATCTTTAATTTTAATATGCACATCAAAAAAAAAACACAAAAAAACAGGATTTATAATTATTAGGTGAGGTTTTACAAGTACTTGAACCATTTACATATTCAGTGACTAAATAAAAGCTTTTTAAATAATATTTTTGGGCTGCACCAATGATTGATATTGACAATAGTCCAGTTTGGGTTGATTTTAAAATAACGTCCACAATATAGGATTTTGTCTCTGGAAAAAATAAAAGCACCATAAACAAATTGCATATCATTCTGTCAAGTAGTTTTAAACATTTTAATTCATATTTTCCATGTTTTAAATGTAATTCAAATTCATGCATTTGCAATTAGGCAATTGCACATGAAAAATATTTAGTCAGCCAATTGTTTTTCCATTGTGAATAATAAACATGCACGGCACACTTTCATTAAAAGAAGAACAAAAAATGATTTATAATGTATTCGCCTTGGATACCAAGGGTAATTTTGTTGCAAGATGAAACTAACATGAGAAGAAAAAAAAAGTGGTTTTAAAGCAGTTTTAAATTGGAACAGGTTATTAAGACAGGAAGCATATTCATAGTAAACCAGTTGTAACATAGGCAAGTGAAATTAGAGAGAAAAGTTCTCTGGGAAAATATATGGACCAACAAAGCAGAGGCGTAGCAAGGGGGGGGGGGACAGATGTCCATGGGGGCCAGAGTAATTAGGTGCAGCAAAATGCAATTTGATATTATTTGATTTAGGCAAGTGAAATTAGAGAGAAAAGTTCTCTGGGAAAATATATGGACCAACAAAGCAGAGGCGTAGCAAGGGGGGGGGGGGACAGATGTCCATGGGGGCCAGAGTAATTAGGTGCAGCAAAATGCAATTTGATATTATTTGATTGATGAAAATAATGGGTTTGAGAGTTGAAAAAGGAAAGGGGGGGGCTCTTTAAAATGAATCTTGTCCCCGGGCGCCAAACACTCTAGCTACACCTCTGCAACAAAGGATGAATATGGATGGAGAATATGAACCAAACAGGAATTGTACAGTCTATATCAGGATCCCATGCTAGTAGCATAAATAAAAAAGGGTAGGCTACGCCGGGCGGGACACTTAGAAAGAATGACAGAGGAGTGAAGAGGGTGCACCACCAAAACTCTAGAAGAAAACTGCTCAAAGGCAGACATAGGCTGAGATGGATGGATGATGTGCAGTGGCTGGAAAAGATAAGCCTTAGTTAGGTCTGTGTGGAAAGTAGTGAGGCAGGCCAAAGCCCTACATGGGCTGCAGCGCCACAGAGATGGATGGATGATATTCATAGTAACATTATTTAACATCAAAACATTTATAGATATATAGTACTATTACAAATCATTAATACAATTTGGTTACGGTCCATCTCTATATAAAAAAATCTTAATTTTTCAAACCCCACCCATACTGCTGCTTTCACTACACATCCTCGTAGAATCATGGAGTCATTGCAGATATCCTCCATCTTTTTTCTTTATAAACATATAATCAATTTTGATTAAAAAAGCCATCCATTTTTTTTCCTTCTATTTTTTCCTTACTTTGAACCAACCTTGTAAATTGACATTCAGGTTTCAATACAATCCTTATTTAAGAGGAGTCTTTCAGTAGATCTTGTAGACCGTTTTGTTTTGTTTTTTTGTGTGTAATAGTTTAGATGATGAAGATGAAACATGTGTGAATCTTTTCCTCAATAATTTGATCTTAATACATTGTGTAACAGCTTTTATCACAGAAAGAAGTACACAGAAAATAAGAAAACTTACACACACTCAAAAAACCTTACCCAGCATTAGATGGATACTTTCCAAACACACACACAGATCATGATATGGTCATTAGCTTAAGAAAAAACACAACTAGGCCATTCTGAGTTTTAGTTACACAGACAATCCTGGGTTACAACAATGATACATTTCTGGGAAACAGCTTTACGTTAGTAAATGACCTGGTTCTTCGATGAACAGAGCATGATGACAGGCAAGGATTTGCTTAATTTGAGAATACCAAATAAATGTTAATTTTAATGATTGATTTCCCATTCAATTTCGTAATGATTTCTATCATGGGCAGTTATTTTTACATGTTCCATCATTCTCAATTTATAATTTAAATTAGGCTGAAGGGAAAATGCCCAGATGCCCACCGGATCTAAATGATATCATTTATAACTGCGATAGCCCAGCAACTGAAGCCCAATCCTATCAAAATGAAAGATGGTGTTTTTTCTTTCTTTGAACACTTAATCATTTTTACTTTGGTTTCCATTGCAACCATCTTTGTATTCATTGCAGGCTCACCTGGACTTGCTGATAACTTTCACATTGGATGCCTGATCATAAGGTTAAACACAGAATCATATGAGACTGATGCTGTGCGTCAGCAGGGCTTTAGAGTTTGAAGTATAAACAATGAGATGAGCCACTGGTCACTGCAACATTGAACCACTCACATGAGGTGTTTGATAATTCATGCAGGAATAAGATAGTTTTTGAATGTTTCATTTCTTTGCATAATTATTAATTTTCCTTAAATTATTCCATTCTCAAGAACTGAATTTAAGAATTTGAGAGTTGTTCATAACCATGAGACGGACAGCACTTTAAATGGTAAGATGCTCTGAGGTTTTTAGAGTGCATTTAACACAACAATATATGCTGTCACCCTCTCTTTATAATTGGCTTTCTGTAGTGGTATTGTCAAATTTTAAAGCTAGGAATAGCACTATTGATTCTGCTTGAAAAGATCTCTATAATGTGCGCTAAAATATTTTCCCTCAAATTTGAGAAAATGGAATGTTTCAACAAGTAATCTTTTGTAACTTAACAAAAACATTAAAGAAATATTAATCAAAAAAAAAGAAATGCAAAAGTAAAAAAACATCCAAGAATTCTTAACTTTTGATTTATGACCAAGTTCAATTCAAACCACTACATTTAACATAAGTCATTTTATAACATATCCTTTACCAGTTACAATCAGATCACTTCATCAAAAGAAGATGCAACATTAATTCTTGGGCACAACATATAATTTAACAGACAAATGCATTGATCATGATTCTTGACTGGAATGTTTTTCATCAGTTCCAAGTGCACTTTTATCTTCTGTTAGTTCTTGAATGCCCTCGTTGACCTGGGCGGGTTGATCTCCTTGACCAGCTGTTGTTGGGGATTTCTTAAAGATCTTCTGGAGGAATGCCTTGACCTTACTCAGCAGCCCTTTTTTTGAGGCGGGGTCATATGGCACTAACCTAGAGAAAGTCATAAGTATTGATTCCAGTAGATGAAAGGTGTTTTGATTACACTGTATGTATTCATTTTCAGCATATGGAAAAATATTCTTTTTAAAATAAAACCATTACACACATTAAATGTATTACATATTATATTTAAAGTATTACATTAATTAGATCAATTTAAAATGTATTAATTTCTATTAAAATCACAAAATATGGTTTTAAAAAAATTATTTATTTGGACATGAAAATAATTATTTGGGATAAATCTACAGATACACCAAGCTTGACAGTCTGATGAGTGTGTTAAGCAATTCAGATGTGAATGTATATGGAAGCAATTATTTACCTTCTTGTTGTAAGATTATGGATGCTGCCAAAAGCTATGGCCACAACTGTACATGTTAGGCAGATAACATTGTAAGGCATGGAGAAGTCTGGGGTAGGTAGGGACACCAGGAGGCTCTCTGTGTGAATCCTGACTAGGAATCTGGGTTTTGATGCACCCAGAGGCTGGTTGGCAAACCTTTTCAGGGAAACAGACTCATTAATGATAGACGCAATTCAAATGGACTCATTAAGAAATCTGAATATCTACATCTACAACATTCATAATAAGGTTTCAATTAAGTTCACTATGTCTGCATAAAAAAAAAAATCACTCACCATACTATACAAGTTCAACTTTGCATTTTCTAACATTACCCCCCACCTCATTATTATTTTTCCATACTTAATTCTTTATTTTAAATCTACATTTAATATGGCAGTGAGATAGTCTTCATTATCGGGCTAATCAATATATGACTGGGAACAAATATCAGAGCCCCACACTGTGCTACTCAGACCCACTTTAGCGGAGTCTTAATAATGTCTATGTACAGGATATGTCTCTTCTTCTTCTATATATTAAGGGCCCACGATCAATTTATTGATCATTTTGGCTCCTATGCATGTAAAGGGGATTTGCAATGTTTCTGTGCCTGGTGTTGATGAGGACATTTCACTGATTTCCAGTGCCACTTTGTGAGGGAATCATGCACTGGGGGTTTGATGGCTTGAGGCTATAGACACAAATGAGCCTGGTGTTGTCGCCTCAACTGTTCCTTTTGAAAGCTTGTTCCAGTCCCTCATTGTCTTGGGCAGGAATGAGCAGCTCCTATACTGGCTTCTTGCTGGTATGAGCCTGCATTGCCTGTTATGGCCTCGTCGCTGTTATCTTCCAATCAAACGGTTCCCAGGGTCTGTACTTAACAGTAGATCTAAAAACATACATTAAAGGAAATGATAAGAACCATTATTACAAATGCACACATTTCCATTATTGCTTACATGGAATCTAGCCTGGATGATGCTTGTGGTGGTCCTGTATACTCCAGTGTAGATGGTACCAGTGCCGTTATAACAGCTGAACTTATGTAGAAGCCATGGTTGGCATCAGGGGGATATTCTGTCCACTTGAGGTAGGCACGTGTAAAGGTGAAGTGGACTCGAGTGACCGAGTTGGCCCACAAGGTGAGGGACAGCTCCAAATGATGTGGCCTTGACCTGTCTTTAGCTGGTACATAATGAACTTTATCTGTAAAAAAACAAAACAAAAAAACTTGCCCTCATCCTTTAAAAGAAAAATGATAAAAAGAAGAATGATTCAAAATTAAAATTTTAATGTAGGAGCCTACTTGTTAAGCCATATCAAATTGTTGGCATCTATGCTGTAATATAGTTTAAAAAAAAAAAAAAGTAATAATTAGCATATATTAGTCTCACATGGTACGGCCTTGCCGTTGTTGACCACTTCCAAGGTGTTGAATTTGACACGGGTAAACCAAGGCAAGAGATCCAAGTACAAGATACTCTGATTGCTGGACAATGTATTGTGGATTAAACAGGAAATACCTCCATCCTCAAGGCCATAACCTGTAAATCACAATGCTTTTAAATCAGATCATTGCCCCTATGCAACAACATAATAAATTATAAAAAATATTATACTGGTAAAACTTTATCATTAAAAAAAAGTATATATTCTTTCTAAAGCTTAGTGTGACTATGTTTGATTGCAAATGTCGATCAATGACAAAAATTTTATGGATCACAACCAAATTTCACATGGTCTTTCCTCCTGACCTACAGATAGTTCCTGGATAGTTTGGTCTTAATCCCCAAATCCCAAATGCTGTAATTAAAAAAATCGTAAAATGTAGAGGGTAAGAAGTAAAAAAATAAATATTATTTTCAGATGCTTATTTTCAAGTTAAGTTATTTATGATGCATGCTGTTTTACTCAGCCATTATTCAGAACTGTGCACTTTCAAACATTTATTAAATGAAGGTTTTCAATGCGCTTTTGTTTGATGCACGCATTTTAAATAAAGTTTTATTCTATGCGGCAGAACAATGTGCCTTTTAAAAAGAAAATTGAAATTATTTTTTCAACAAAAGATTCGCTGCTTAATGCAATCATATTCTTTAAATATACGTAAATAAATGTTGTGCCATTTTAAAAAACTTAAGTTCATTGCAGGTTTTAGATTAGCATTATCATTCAGGGGCATGAATTTAGGGCAATTACTCGTACCTATGGATTTTTCATCCTGAGGTTCTTTTATTAATTTTTTATTACCAACTTTATAAAGTAGATGTGTGTGGGGAAGGGAGAATCGTAAGTTGGTGATTTAGCCCTAAATCTGAATTTAGTCAGACTAAGTTGCTGATTATGTGGCTGCATTTTATGAGTATAGCATTTTAATAGCAAAGTCTTTTAAAGGCACAATGTGTTATGTACCAAACAATTACAGTCCATAGCTGATCTCCAACTTTTTATATAAAATTATTTACAAGTTCTACATTCATAATTAGCTCCTTAAATACCACACACAATAAGTTTGTGTCTAGATTTTGTTTACCTACACCAGGTAATGGCATGGTAGTGTTTCAATTAAAAACGGTGTAAAAAAATGATCAATGAAAAACAATTAAAAGTTATAATGGTACTCATCAAAATATAAATTATGATTTTTAATTAGTGGTATGTGTTACATAAATTTTAAAAAATTTAAATCTGTTTTTTAAGATGTCAAATGTATCTTTCTGGAATAATATTATGTACTACATATGAAAAAATATTGTCTGTCTGTTTCCATGTGGATTAATGGATCTTGATCCAACTTAAGTTTGAAAAAATATATCCAGTTCAGGGTTGGGGGCCCAAATTTCGGTTTTTATTATATGAGTTACAGAAATAAAATTAACACTAATGGCTTAATCTAGATTAAAATTGGTACAAAGGCACTTAAAATCCATATTACAAAAAATTCATTACTATTTTTCAACTCATTTTAATGTGATAATTCATTAAAATTTAACTTCACTATTTATCTGAAGAAAATGTATAGCCCCCTATCTTAGTGCTAATTAAAACATATAGAACGAGTCCCTACTGTTTATTTTAACTTGAAGTGAAACGTCTTGAGTTACATCTTATGTTTTAGTATTGAAATATTGAATACGAACCTCAGCATAGCCAGGTATAGTGACCAGTTAATTTATATATTAAAAAAAAAACCTTTTGCAGTTTAAATCTACCACGCAAAAAACTCCCCCCAAAAAAGTAGAGCAAAGATTTTTTAAAAACATATATTTTGATTTGGCTTTTTTCAGAGTAGTTTAAAAATCACCTGTAATAAACCTGTGAGTGTGTATTGGTGGTGGACTCAGTTCCACTAAAACTGGAGGCTGGTTGAATGTGGCCTCGATATTTAAAACTCGATTAGACTGTGTAAACTGACGCACATCATACACAGCATATGTATGCTCATGGGGTCCACGTTTGATAGTGTCTGTGATGGTTGGACTTGGGGTCAGCCTGAAGGATGACTGATCCTGTGGAAGGAATAAATGAAATACGAAAATTAAAGATTATAAAGGATGAACTCTGTGCTTAAAATTCCAGGTTAAATTGAAATTTATGGTTTTACTATATTTAAGTTTAGAAAGATGGGTTTGTTACATTTATTAGATAAGACAGGAGAGATAAGATGAACAGATGAAACAGAACTTAAAGAATATAGCCCTTTAAAATATATTTATCTAGATTTTATTTTTTTACTTTCTAAAGTGTTTAAGTTAATTATTTTAAGTTTTGAGCTTTTCTGAATTTAATCAATTAATTATGCAAAAGATTTTGGTGGTTTTTAAAGTAACCAATGATAGGTCAGACCCACTTAATATTAGAATATGTTATGGAGAATACACCATATCAAAAGATAAATGTTTTAGATTTTAACATTTATTGGGTGCTGTTGAAAATGAATTCATTGAGATCAGACCTAATTCATGATTAACCTATGAAAAATTCTGTGGGGTATTGCAATAACCTTGAAGCACTCATTCGATTATACAAACTTTTCTAATTAAGAATTTACAACTGAAATTGGTATGTTTTGTTGAAGCAGATGTGAACACTTTATAATGTTACCAAAGAAGGCAAGAATCCCATTCATCAAGACAATTATTAACCTATCAGAAAAAAGAAATCCAATAGGCCTACATTATATTAGTTTTGAATATTATAAAGGATGATTCTGATGTAATTTCTGCTGTAATGCATGTGCAAATTGAACTATGCTTATGACACGTGGATAAGTGGGAGAATGACAAGTCTGATATTAAGCCATTTCCTACTTACCACATTATTTGTTATATCCACCATTATAGTGCTCTTAGCTGCAATAGGACAGGCCGACACCAAGTGGTTGCCAAACAGGCTTCTAATCTGCCAGTCTATTTAACAAATTAAAGGGCAAAATAATGACATAATATTAAAAAAGTAAATTAATTAATTTCAAAATGTAAAAAAACAAACAAAAAAAACACACATAAAGGTAAACAAAATATTTAAATAGATGGAATGTCATCGAATAAATCTATGTTGAGAGAAAATTCAAAGAAAATTTGAAGGAACCTACTAAATCTCTATGAAGTGGGCCTTGAGAAAATAAAATAATCTTAATTCTCATGAGACGGCGTGGGGTGATGTATCGGCCCCAGTGTTACGGCGAAAAAGGTGAAAGGCAGATCGATTGGCCTAAAAAAGCCTCAAGATTGGCTGACTTGTCTTCTAACAGATAATCAATTGCTTCTCGCATTTCTTGCTCATCTTGACATTTTAATGGCGTCTTCCATTGATATTTTACGGTTTTCTGCCATTTTATGTCAATTTTTTTTGTACCTAGTGACAACTATTAAACTTAAAAAATATGTGACCTTGAAATATGCAAAAAGGCATAACAACCCCACAGGAATATTTTATGCAATTTTCATATTAAATCTCATTCAAATACGGGATAAGACTTATTAGGCTTCAACAATAAACAAAATTCTGCAAGTAAGACAATTTTATTCTAAGTATAAAAAAAATAATTGCATGCAGAAATTATACAAATCAGGCATCTCATTTTATGCACAAATTATTTAAATCAGGCTATCTCATTTGCAAAAATATTGAGTTTTCAGTTACTCATAAAGATTGTATTAGTTTAATCAATTATCAACAAAAATATATGTAGTTTTATATGTGTAAAGTTTTTAAAAAATAAATTATTTAGCAAAAGTAATTGCAGAGCTTGTGAAAAGTGGCTCCATATTTTTTGCCCAGACAGACCAAAAGGCCCCCATCTCGAGAGGGTTAGATATAAAGTTAAATCTTACATAATCAGGAGGCATGCAAAATTTAGCCTTCACTTACTGGGTGATCCTGTGTAACTGGTGCTTACAACATCTGTGACCACACTGAGACTTTGACTTAGTTCAATGGCTTCTTGTGTGCAAGCTTCATCCTGTCATTGAATTCAAATAACTAAAATCACTTTAGTGCAAAATGTACCTCACAACACTATTTCTTCCTTGTTAATTGGCAAGGTAATTTACACAGTGATCCGTGAGCTTAACAGGAGCTTAATAACACATCTTTCTGCATGCATATCTGATTTTTCTACAAGCTCTTATATTATAGTTGAAGAGGGATGTCATTTTTAACAGAATCATAAAATTAATGACTCTTTTAATAAAACGATAGTCGTTCATGTTTAATCTTTGGAATTTAACACTTGGAAGTTTATATAACAACTTTAATTATATTTTCATGGACAATTTTTATCAATTAGATATAATATTTTTTTTTGTAATATGCATTTAAAAAACAACAACATTCTAATGAGAATTTTACTTACAGCACATATTGGACGAACATGCAATCCAAGGGAATGGTAGTTTGCTTCATGGAAGTGAAACGCATTGAAAAGAGTGGAGAGTCCCGCCTGCATTATAAAAGCATATTTAACATAATGATCAAGTTTAAGTTATTACTGAATATGTAGATGGGGAAAATAACATTGCTGAAAGGAAGTCGTGAACTACTTTACAAAACTGCAGCTGATGCAGATGACCACATTTTAAAACTATACACGTGATGTCTAACACTCTTTACTTTAGAATCGCAGGGCAGCAGTTTTTTCCATGGCGTCAGGTTCTCGGTGCAGACTATTTCTTTAGGCAATGCACCATATCTAACAGAGCGGGAAAACGGAGAAGTACTTTTCGATGCAAGCCCAAGGGGGCGGAAGCTCCACCGTGGAACTATGGTGCTCTTGGAGTCCAAAAAATTGAGAGAGGAACAGAAAAGTCCAGACACTGCATTGACAAGATCAGTCCAAGCACCATCAATACTGAAACACAAAATATAGATAAATCAGCATTACTAATATACTACATGCTTTGTACAATTTGCACAAAAGCTCGTCTGGTTATAAGATGTGCTGTAAGTAAATTTAAATACATGCCTAATAGATCAATGCTTGGTACAGTTTAAATGACAAAAAGTATTATATCATAATTGTAATTATTATTTTATGGTGTTGAAGCCCAAAACCATATATGGTTTTATATTCTTTTCTTAATGGTTCAGTTTTGACATAATATAAAGAAGTAAAAGGTTAAAAATGCTATCAGAATACATTGTGTTGATACCCAAGGTAGATCACAACTTACTCTTTGACAGATGGCTTAAACCAGACCCACAATTCAGCACCTGGTGGGGCATCATGTACTGGGTAACCCCAGAGCTTATGACGCCAGAGACCTTGAGTTTGAGAGAGATGTAACTCTTGTACACCATATCGGACAAGAACCTCACCAAGTGACTTTGGAAAAAGATTATAGTGGCTGACTGGAAATACAGAAAAAAGATTTAAGTTAGTTACAATAAATGTCAGGGTATTATCAAAACAATACAGTTACTTTAAAAAAATAAATATTTTGATCTTTTTGACTACAAGTAGGCTAAGTATCTCAGTAACTAAAACTGTTCTCTTTTGAGAATCAATTGATGTTTGGTTTGTGACATTTTTTGTATAATCACTATCGATTTCTACATTGAAGATTATGAAAAAATCTTGTCCTACAGTGAAATGTATTAGTGAACTAGTACAGATTTATTGGCAGATAATCTAGAATCGGTTTAATCGCCCACTATGCCAATTAACTGTGATCAGCTTTTAAGGCCAATTATCAGCGAAATCTGCCAACTGAAAGTGCTCGCTAGATATTAGACATAAATCAAGATATTTTTAAGTTTATATTGCTTGGTTTATGGGATTTAATCAAATTTCCACCAAATCATGTGCGTCCAAAAAACTAAGTCTGCTATCATACATTCCCCTCCATTCACTGCCAAATGGTTTTTCTTTTTGTCACGTCATTAGTGTTTACGCATAACACAACAGAGACAATAAATTATGACTAGAAGTTACAATAAAAGACAAGTGTGTCATAAAAATGCTTAGTTGTTGTTTTTTTGGTATCTGTCCAGCACAATGTGACGATGGTGTAGACTTCACAGGATGAAATCACAAGGCTTGGGATTTTTCTTTTTAGGAGGATAAGCTTGTTCCCTAGAGACCCTTCTCCATTCATATGGATAACCCAAGGAAACATCATGTGGGGATGAGACGGCTTGGCACCAATAATGTCGCAAGAGTTGCCAGAATATTCATTGTATCTATGTCATACTGCTTACAGGACTCCATCTTCAGGTTTGAATTTTGAGTTTTCCTTCATTTAGATGTGTTTAACCCAAGGTTAATGAGTACCATCCAACAAAGGTGCTGGTGATGTTTTTGCTTGAACTCAGCATTATTAAACTGGGATCAACTCAGTTTAGACAGCTCGGCCACCCAGCATTAAGTAGTTAGATGTGTAGTAAAAAGGTAAATTACGTAGTAGAGTCGTTTGACATTTACAAGGCAGCAAGTGGACTGAATACGAAGAGTAAAGAGGTGCAGAGCATGACTTTAGTGCATGTGATAGGCCAGGATGCAGTTGAAATATTTAATATTTCCAGTGAACTGGCAAAGATTGTGACATAAATACTTCTTTTCAAACAGTTTATTGGATTTGAAGAAGTTTGAGAATCACTGTTAACCAAGAAAGAATGTAACAATTGAAAGACAAAGTGTTGACAAGTGAACATTTTATTTCAGGCTATTTTCACCTATTATTTATATTTACTCCCCTAATATTATTGTAGGCTATAGGTAGGGTAGGTAAGTTAAAGGTCATAACCAGTGATAATAGTTTGGTTTTTAAAAAATTATTTACTTTTTAGCTCCTTTTTCAAGAATGAATTTAAACAACAAAACAACTGCCATGTTAAATGTTTGTATCAAGTTTTGTGTGTTACACTCACATCATAGGATTGTTGTTGTACGGTTTTAGAAGGACTTTTTTCTTTCAGAACTTTAGGACTAACAAAATGCAACCAATTTCTGCTAAATATGCAGTAGTGATTAAAGAAACTAGCTTATGAAAGAATCAGGCTATTAAAGACAATGAATTTCAGATTTTAAACATCAATCTAAGTAAGGAGTGACTCAGATGTAGGCAACCTGGTGGATCAGACTGGGTTCAATGTGACCTGAAATATACTGGTGCCATAGAGGAAAAAGAGATTATGTAGTTATTCTTCCAGCTTAGAATAATTAAAAGTGTGATAGCATGTATGACTGACGATTATTATTGTGAGCAGTGAGTGAACTTTGTAACCTGATTGGCCTGTGTTGTTGCGATGTGGTATGAATGGATGTGGTGAGTTGTATTTATTCATGAATGTTTAAACTTAAAGGTGTGGAAAAGTGGAATGAGTGATCATGAATGTGAAGCATAAAAAGAGTGTAGAATGTGGAATAAAGATCAGTTGTTACACCAAACACAGAAGAGTGGGCGTCATTCATTTCTATTACAATAAGAACTACAATTAATCTATTCTGATATTCAGTTCCTTGCAGTGGAAAGTGCCTAATGGAGACCTGTTTACTCTCAAACTCTTAAAATCGTACAATATCATCAAATTGTTCAGTACCTTATATTTATAGTACAAAATAAACATACAGTATAGATAATGTTTACACCTCAAAATCGTACATTGTACGCCAAAATCGTAAGAGTAAACAGGTCTGCTAATGCCACAAGACCTAGAGGCTTATTTTCAACTTTAATTTAAATGATATCAAATATAAAACTTGAAAAAAATGCATGATTCAAATTTTGAATACCCAACCAAATGATTGTATTGTGTGAGAAGTGATTCTTCTCTAAATTAACAGTTTCAAGGATTAGCAATAATCCTAGTGTGCCTAGTTGTTTTTGAGATCACTGGTGCCTAAATGCCTTGCTTTTCTATCTTATTATATATAACCTCGGCCTATATAATTATGTTATGTAAATGTAGGTTAATAATTTGAATAATTTGGATAAAAATAATACACATGTTTATTCGTGCCTTGTCAATATTCACATTCAGTCAAGGAGATTGCATTTCCACTTATGCTACTCAAATACAGAAGGGTTTTCAGTCAATTAACACTTAAAACTCATTCTGAGTTTCTGAGTATCAGTGAGCTCCCTTTGTTTAGTTGTGGATTTTTTACAAGAGTTTACTATTTTCTTTATTTTGCATTACTACCCTGAATGTAATTTTTAATTAATACTGGTATTTGAAAACGAGGTTGCTGTCTGAGTCTGATTATTTGATAAAAGGATTTTGACTAAATTGATAAGGTAGGGTGGAACTTTTAATAAAGTCTGTAAAAGTGTATTCGATGAAACTGTAAGTTGGGTTTTCATCATTTTCAATATTTTTAAAATAATTTTAATCTTTTCAATCAAATTTACAATTCTTTCAGTAGAGTGTGTAACTGTTGCAAATGAACACATGGTTTTAGGTTTCACTTTTGGTCATAGAATTTAGGTTTGAATATTTACACTCAAGTTAGGGGTGGGGTGGTGTGTGTGTGTGGGCAGGACTAAATTAATGCTCAAGTTTTGAGGACAAATTTAGATTCCCCATATTAGGCACTTTTTGTTAGGACGCTAATTGACAGGGCAGAGCTGTCACTATGAAAATGAATATTACTGTGAAAATATCAGGACCCGTATTAAGTGATTCATTTCTATTGTGATGAAAGTCATCTGTTGCAGCCCATTGTAGTAGTAAATACCAGATGGTTAATTTAATTTTTTAAAATATTTTTAAGCACATTAAAATATTTACTTGCCATTTTAAAATGAAATTTCTTAAATTTTATCATTTTATAATGTGTAAATATTTTATTCCAAAAGATAATAATTAAGTCATAATTCTAAAAGACTGTTGTAAATTAATATACACAATGCATTTGGAACCACCTATGATGATATATTTCATCTTAAAAAACATGAAATTTGACATCTGTGTGTGTTGTCCACAAAAATATTCAATTATATCATATTTTAAAGTCATTTTGGTATTTCCACAATATATAGAGCTATGAAAACTGGAAATGCAAGTAGGCCTATATACTATTTTGTTCATTTTATCTCTCAACATTAAATATATAATATTAGTTCTTTTACGACCACAAATTAAACTCATGATGTATGAGATGATGACCCACCGGTTCTCACTTCTAAATTTCTCCCAGCCAGAAAGCCAGGCAGAGGGAAGAAATTGTGACATTATGAGTGACTGGACATGGAGAGTTGTTTTCATGAGTGATTAAACTTAAATGTGTTAATATTGGTTGGAGAACTGGAGTGAGTGGTCATTTAATGTGGGGTATAAAAAGAATGTAGAATGGTTATTTGTTACAAAAACCACAGCCTTGAGTTGATATCTTATCATACTATTACAGAAATGTCATGATACAATGAGTCAGTTTCTTCATCCTAAAGGTATTTTTCACACTGGATATGGTTGAAACATTTATAAAACACACGTTTTCAACTAATCAAAATACAGCACTTTTAGAGTGCATCATTTTTCCCCCCACCAGTGTTGGTTCTTGGGTATCAGCAAGGATGTGTTTATTTTTTCATTTCTTTTCATACAAGTAAGTTGAATTTTAAAACAAATTAATGGAAAACTGCATCATAATACACTCCATATTAACCGTATCGATAGTCAGATTTAGTTTATGACGTGAGTAATGCTCCGTATAGAACAGGAAGAGTTACCACACACATCGTTCATGTCCTACAAATCAATGCTACACTTGGTCTATTCACCCTAAGTCCAGTGTTGGGATTCCCCTAAGTGACATCACTGCACTTAGGATGAGACAATTCTTGGCAAAACCCATGCCCATACAATTAATCCCAAATTTACCGTAAATTGTGAGAGTCGAATAGTGTAAATTTACCTAGGAAACCTAGTTATAGTTCTCCATTCCATTTAAATTTTAATTTTAATCTGAACCACCAATCAATAATTCTATAATTTAATTAATTTAATAGGCTAAATATTATTTGTATAATAATTTTAGGAACCTAAACTTTATTTAAATAATAATAAAGTGTTGATTTAATTAAGTTTAAGTCTTAAATTAAATTTATTCTCTTAATTTCTTTATGTTGTGAGTCTTGTCTTATATAATCTTACGTAGTTACTAAGTTACTGGTGGTAAGTACACAATACCAACAACAGTATCGAATCAGATCCTAGCCTTAAACTTAAAGTAAAGCCTTAAAATGGATGGCTTACCAAATGGATAACTCATTCATGATCACTCAATCAAAAGTCACTTCAAATTTCAAGCAATGTCACTCAATCCCAATGAATCATAATCATTGTTCATTCAATCAAAAATCAAGTTCATTCATTGAATCATTCATTGCCATTCAATTACTGTCAAATAATATAATAATATCAATTCATTGTCACTCACTACTGACTCGACTAAAAATTACTTACAAGTTCTTAAATCGTGAATAGATGCATTCCATTTGGTCGTGAATTGAAAATGAGAATAAACATAGCCACGAGACAGTGGTTTGATTAATAATTCTTCAGTAAATTCATCTTTTTGTGCAACACTAGTTGAGCAAGTAATAATAAAAATGAAAACAAATAGCATTGTTGGTAGTTCAGGAGACGCCGGTACAGCCATTTTACTCCAGTTGCCAGTTAACTTTACACATATAACCGGAAGTTCGTAATGGGCGTCTACTCTAATTATTTATGATCCAAACATTTGGTTAATTTAAATCATGTCAAATGGCCTAAAATTTTATGAAAAGTTAATTATTTGCAAGTAATTGCTTTGAATCAAAATCGGAAGCAGTAAAATAAATTTTTAACACATTCACATATTAACGATAACCTTATACCAGAAATCATACCAATTCCAAACAAAATAAGTTAAATAAGGTAACTTGCTTTGCAACAACGACTTACGACTTACGTCCTGTCGCACTAACTAAACTACACTAATTATGTCATATCATGAAATGTTTTGAGAAATTTTGTAATGAAATGTTTTGAGACAAATTTTGAAAGAAGTACAGCAAAAACTTGACCCCCCCCCCCCCACACACACACACCAATTTGCTTATAAACCGGCCAGAAGCACGGAGGATGCTATTTTACTATTGTTGGAGGGACTTTACCATCTCCTAGAGACTAAGACAGACAGCCCTAAAATGCCTAAAAATATGCTAGAGTGCTTTTCTTAGACTTCTCATCAGCATTTAACACTATCCAACCACACCTTATGATAAAGAAATTTTCCTCGTTAGGTGTAAATTTAAATATTCAAGCTTGGATACTGAACTTTTTAACAAATCGCCCACAATATGTCAAGTAAATTATCAAATATCTCTAACCAGAGAAATAAGCACCCGGACGCCACAAGGTTGCATTCTCTCCCCTTTTCTGTGTACAATATATACCAATGATATTCAGGGCCCAAGCGACACCGTTCCAAACATAAAATTTGCTGATGATATATGAGGCTTAATATATGAGGGACTTAATTATAGGCCTTATCGGTTGTTGCGGATGGGGTGGTCCGCCCATATGTTAATTATGCTTTTTAGGGAGGGGGCCTCGGATAGTTTAGGGGCATAGAGTTTTGATGTAGAAACCTTTTTAAATTATCAACTTTGAATGCAGTTACGGTTGGGAGAGGACACTACTGAAAAGTGGCAGGGAGCCTCGAAAAGTAACGCGACAGCTCTGCTTGGTCTTGCTGTGGTATACCAATTTTTAAAAATATATTACTAAATAGTAAATGGTTTTTAATTTTTATTTTAACTATTTTTGGAGTGAACTACTCAATTACTGATAATGAATTTCAAATTATGTTTTAAAACATGTTTCCATCCCTGCTAACATCATTAGTATATATATTTTAGGGGTAAACCACTTAATAAATGAATTTTCACAAATAAAATAAATATTCCTTCCAGAAAAGGTATCCGGCGCAAAAAAGTTTTTCGTACAATCCTTTATAAAATGATGTAATATCGAGCAATGTGTGTGTGTGTGTGTGGGGGGGGGGGCTGTAATTTTGACAAAACATGCATACAACTAATGCACTTTATACGAATGACAATTAGTGCTTCCCACCCCCCCCCCCATCCCACCAAGGCTCGCAATCGCACATTTTTTCACTACACCAATTTATAATACTATATTATTAATATTTTAATGACTCACCCGTTTTTACATCACAGATTTTTTCACCAAATATTTAAGAAAAACAAAAGAAGATATAACGCACTTGCGATTTTTAAAATGAATATCATTTAGCGCAATTATCGGGAATTTTATTTCCTGAAATCAGTGGCATCATATTTCCTTCATCTTCCCCTTGAAAAAACTGCTTTTAGGGGTTGGATTGGAGGGTACGGCTGAAGTTTTAATAGAATGCGTTGTCGTCGGTAACAAGTCGATATGCCAAGTTTCAGCCTGATCGGTTGACGGGAAGTAGGTCCATTGGTCGTCCGAAGGTCTTGCCAGCCAGTCAGCCACAAACAAAAGCGAAGTTAATTTAAAGAATTTTAAAAAAAAGGACAATAAAAAAAAGTAGACACAATCTAGACACGTTAACAATACACTAATGCGAGTCACCGTTTTAATTCGGCCCTAGCTACATAAAAAGTGTGTGGCTAAATCAAAAAGATCAACCCACTGATGCCCTAGCATAACATGAATAATAAAAGTCATGAAAATATTTGATACATACTCTCATATCCAGTTCTCAAAACTGCACATATATTTGCTTGTCATTCAAACTTCCAGTTCCGGATTTTAACAAAATAAATAATTATATATAATTAAATATATAATTATATCTCCGGACACAGTGAACATTGTCAAAACACATAACAACTGCACATAAAGGAAAGAAATATAATTTTCATAAGTTTGGGACTGGAGATAAGCCAAGAAATCCAATGGCGAACTTGCCCAGGCATTTGGAACCACAATGGGAGCTTTTCAGGAACGAGCCGCTGAAAGCCCAACTCCGCAGAGAAGTCATCAGACATCGACAGGAAGAAATAGACAAGGGCAGGGGCGATATCAGTGAGCACTGGTGGTACGATCAGCGATACGTGGACAAGGTGGTGCCCGCTGAATATGTTGACCCAGATGGTCTTGATACTTTTAATTACAGGTGAGGGAAAGCGGAACGTCTCCGAGGAAACTTGGGGGCGTCCACATGGGGTTTTTGCCTCTTCGTGGCGTGGCAGACTAGTAGGGAGGTCAATCACCCGAAGCTAAAAATCCCCGGCCGACACATGACTCCCAACGCAACGGGAGGAGTAAAGTCGTAACATGATTACTTGTTGCCGTTCATGGATATGAGGTTTGGGTGGCGGTTAAAACCCATGCCGATGATTTTAGCTACACGACCGTTTTGTCCCAGCTCTCGTCTCGACAAGAGACTCCGTGGATTGTAACTTTTGGGAGAGTGGACCGCGAACGCTTTAAACGCAGCGTTTTCGGTCGACCGGACGTTCCCCAGGCCACGGGGGAGGGGGGCGTTTCCGGTGTGCCCCCGCACGGGCTGGTGGCGGGGAAACCCGGCGTTTGGTCCATGTAGAGGTGTGCCGGGGGGGGGGGACATCAAGAGCTCATGCTTGACGGCCCCCCGACGCCATTTCCCCATCTTACGTTAGTTACAGGTGAGAAAAGAAAAGTTTTTTTTGTTTTTTTTTTTTCAATCGTGAGACTTTTACGGCTGTCGAGGGTTGGGTATACATATTGACTTTACCAAAGAAGCTCAGGTTACTGAGTCCTTTCTACGATGTATGTATTACGATTTTAACTTTAATCCTTTAGGGTACGGCTATTATCTTAACGGTTAAAGGAAACAACATCTCACTCGTGATTATTTCAGAAATTTTACCCCGGGGTGGGGGGGAGCACTCTTCAGATTTTTCGGGGGGGGGGGGGCAGTGCNTTGCTCCTGGGGGGGGGGGGCTCTTGAAGAGGTATATCTGAAAGAAACCCTGATCTCACTGATCAATGATTTGTTAATGTTAACTGGAGTACAATGATTTCTCGTAAAAGGAATGTTCATTAGCTTGAACCGGATCTATGAATGACTTATTAAATGAGTTTTGGCGTAACTTAGGTCGGTAGCACGTGCAAGTCTTTTTATGTTGAAAGAATAAAGAGTCTGATTTGAATGTCTGCTAGCGGCATGGTTCTAATCAGTGGCGTAGCTATAGGCTTAGTGTCGCAAAGGGTGAGCCACGATTTTTGCCGCCAGTCCCCTTTTCCATGAAAAAAAACAAAAAACTCGCAGTTGGCCGAAAATGCCGCCCCTCAATATTACAAGAAATGTGTCACCCGGGACGGACCATCCCACTCCTCTGCACCCCATTCCTACGCCACTGGTTTTAAAGCCATAATAAAAATTTTAACAATATTTAACTAGGTCTAAAATTCGTTATGTGAAGTCTAACATTTAAAACCGTAATCGAAATGTCCACGAACCATAACACCATTGATCACTATTGCTGATTTACTTTTACCATTTTGACAGATATCAAGTGTATGCCCGGCACCCTCCGATACAGTGTGAGCCCCGGTCTTTGGCCGAAGTCACAGACGAGCGACCGCCCCTGAGATACAACATCAAGCGGATATCCCAAGGGAAACCCTTAGAAGTGTCGCTGCCAAGCTGCGACAGTCAGCGGGGACCCAAGTCGTTCGTCCTCGAGTGTTCCAGTCCGGACATTAACGAGAACCGCTGCCGGAGCAAGAACAACAACTCGTGCATGGATCGACAGACCGGTAGCAAGTGTGACGATCCCGTCGGCAGTTGTGGCGCGGAGAATGATCAGATGCCGCCTTTGGCAACAGTGGCCGAAGAAAGGCCACGTGGTTTCAACGCGTGTCAAACCGGTCAGAACTGGAATGATGGCGAGGACCGCAGCAGGCAAGGAAACAACCATTTCCCCGTTATGCCATCCCAAAAACTATCTCCGTGTCCAAGAAAAAACTTACGGCCGCTGTTGGACAGCAATGTGAATCGTTTGACTAACCACCGGGATATCGGTGCTAGCCCAAGCTGCAGCTCGGGGTGCACCAGCAGAAGCTCGTCTCCTCGTTGTGCGGAGAATAGAAACAGATCAAACAGGTGCGTGCTGGCAAGCAAGACGGACCTGCGGAAAGGGACGATGCAAAACAGCGGCAACGGGGCCCCGAACTCCAACTGCGAAGAACGGGGGTGCCCCAACAGTGTCGAGATTATGTCCCCTTGGAGTGCACCCAGCGAAAGGTCTCAAAGCACGTTGTCCTGCGCATCTAATGAAGAGACACATGAATTGAAACAATCTCGAAACATGTCCGGTGTTCAAACCGGAAGTCGTGTGAATGTTGATAGGTCAGCAGACGTTTGTCAAAGAAACACCCGCGGTGAAGAATGTGTGACAGGTGCCAAGTTTGACGATGCCGTGTCAGCTGTCACTTGGCCTGCAGACAACACCGACATTTCTGTCAAAACAGGATCGAATGATGCAATGGGCACGTCAAATACTCAGAATGAGGCTTGCGCGAGTTCCAGTGGGCCTGTAGCCGTAACACGCGTGTCTCCACTTGCGGTATCGGGTGACAAGGTCCAATCACGAACGTCGATCAATCTCAACAACAACAAGAGGTTAAGCCTCAGCTCCAAGACAACGCTGTCTGAAGCAAAATTGTCGGAGAACGGGGATATTCTGAGAAAGGCTAAGAGGCCCTCCAAGAGAAGTGGACTGTACACGGTTATGGGGAGAACGGACAGCGTAGCGGGTCTTCTTGTCGGTGAAGAGGGGTTTGATAGCAGCAAGAAAATCGATAACTGTAACAATGACACGAGATTTGGAAGGCGCTTTGGTTACAACGTTGCAGCTCTGAATAATAACGTTTCGGGTCTTTTTGAAACAAGGCTAGGCGGTCGACAAAATGTGATTGGTCCTTATACCCACACGCTTGAAGGCGATTGGTCTGAATCCTTGCAAACCGGTAATACAAACCGCAAATCGGTCACAAATCTATCCAGTAACGAAAACAGAAGTGGAAAGCGGATGGGCTATGAGGCGACAGCTCAAAGAGATACCATGGGGAGTTTGATTACAGGGAACTACAGGGAAACCATTCGTAGTGGCAGGAGAAGTTGCCAGGACGGAGGCTACTCTTCGATGGCCGACTCCAATAACCTCAAAAGTATTTTGTGCGATCCAATGCCATGCAATAACAACAACAATAACATGCTTTTACTGGCCCGTGACCTCGAACTGCAATACAGCCCTAGTGAAATTTGTAATGAATCCAGCTTATCCAGAGAAGATTCGGCCGATGTTTCAAATAGTGGAAACACTGCCTACTCCCCAGAGTACGTCTCCTTCATTTATTCCAACCATACCCTAGTGGATGATCTTATTTTGGAGGGGGCAGATATGGACCCAGAAATCCCAAAGAATGGGGCAAACAAGTTAACACGCGAGGGCTCCGATAATCATTTGGAGCGGATCATTAGAGGGATGAAATACCTCGACGCACGTGTCTGTCTGTGCACCAACAACAACTCCAGGTACAACGACATCTTTGAAGTACACTGTAAACCGTTGCAGCTGTGCAAGCCCCAGGGCAACGGTGCCCAGCTCAAGCCGTTTAAATGCCGATCCAAATCATGGGTTAGGCCGGTGTCCAAAGTGATATGTACTGGGACCCCTGCCAACGGTGAGCCCAATAATGGGGGAAAACACCAACCAATGGAATGCACTGTATTGCCCGCCTCTGGGGCGGCCAATGAAGATCTCGTTTTACTCTGCAAGCCCAGGAGGAGCAAAACCCCAGAGATCGGCTACGGGACTTACAAAATTATCGGAGGGCTCTCTCACCGGCACCCGCCTCCGGCGGATCTCCTCGCCAACCTAAAACTGCCGCCTCATCTGGTCGAGTACACCGAGTTCATGAGGCGGTGTCCCAATTTCACCATAGGTCGTTACGATAAGTCGGACCCGGCCTATGAAATGCTGCTCCCCGCGAACAGGACGTCGCAGGCGTTGAAAATGCAGCTGAAACCGTTCGTGTACGCCAGGAACCCGAGAGCGGGCAAGTACCCGCCGCTTTACCACGACCCCGTCTCGACGACGAGAGACTTGCAATGGAGTCTCCCGGCTTTTGTGAACGCGCGTTAAATGACCCATGCACATTAGGATTATAAAAATTTATATTTTAATTTTAAAAGGAATAATTTTCATATAGTACTATCTTTAACATACTAGGTTCTACCGTATCCGGAAATTTGATCGAAAGAAATTTCGTCGACGGTAAATTGATCGAACGGAATTTTGGTCCAATCTTTTTTTCAGTTTTTACGATAAAATTTGGCTTCAAATTTCTTTTTGAACGCATTATTTTGTTTTACTATATAGTAGAGTGCGTTAAAAAAGAAATTTGACGAAAATTTTAACGTGTGAACTGAAAAATAGATTCGACCAAATTTCCGTCGACGAAATTTCTTTCGATCAAATTTCCGGTAACTAGGTTCTACATACCATCCAGTGGTGGAGCTGAGTACTGTCAATACCTTCTTTTATAAAAAAAAAAGGGGGGGGGGATCGGGACAAATTATATAAATAGAACGTCTCTTTATTCAAGTACCCGGTATCTGTAGAGCCACTTTTCAATTTTTGTTGTCCGTTTTCCTTTTGTACACAATTCACAATGTTCTTGAATGCACCCAAGTTAAACAATTTTTCTTTCGGGCATATTGCAAGAGGGGTATGATCGCTTTGATACTTCAAACTTTCCATCTACTAATTAAAGTGAGAAGTGTGAGGGGAATCCATAATTAATTAGAAGTGGACTGTAAGTCTACTGCTTTATTTGTAAAAAAAAAAAGTTTAGCTTTTAGAAGACTAGCATGCGGCAGTGTTACTGTTATATTGGTAACAGCGTAGTAAGTGTGAATCTCGCACTGTTTTTGGTGGGTTATTGTCAGGGCCACTGTGGCAGTAATTTTGGCAGCCCCCCCACCCCCCCTTTTTTTTTGTACCCCACTGCATTCAAAGTTGAATTTTTTTCCCCCACCCACAACTTTGGGCCCCTTCTTAAATGTCCGAGTGCCCCCCCCCCCCCCCCCCAAGCCCCGGGGGT